ATATTTTTTGGATAGCAGATTATTGCTTCTCCCAGGCAAGACCGACTACATTGGCTAGAGCATTACATATTTTTATTTTGTTTATACAGGTAAGTTGTAGTACTTAATTGGAACTAGAATTAATAGCATAACTTATTACGGACACATGTGTACAGGAAGATGGAAATGCCCACTTGATGATGTTTTTGGGAGCAATGTGGAAAACACCGAGGTTGATTATTTTGGTATCTCACACTGAAGATGGAAATGCCCAATGTGGCATAGGGTCTTATTTTGGTATCTCACACGAAGGATGTAATGTTGTTGAACAAGCCTCTCGGTCTCTGAAAGGAAGCAAGAAGAGATCAAAAAATTTCACTTTAAAAGAGGATAACATGTTGGTGGAAGCATGGCTAGAAGCAAGCTTGGATGCAGTTCAAGGCGTCAACCAACCTCATGCTATCTATTGGCAACGAATTCATGATTACTTCCATGAGCACAAGGATTTTCAATCTGATCGTAATATTAGTTCTCTCTCATCGCTGGGGTATCATTAATGAAAGTGTTAACATATTTTGTGGATGGTTAACAGCGATTCAAAATAGAAACCAAAGCGGTGTGACTGAACAAGATGAGGTAAGAGGCATTTTCTTTCAATTTGTTAGAAATGTATATGTGTATTCATGGTTACTAACACATATTAAATTGTGTAGATACAACAAGCACTTGAAATATACAAGGAGAAAGATGAGAAAAAAATCGTTTTCATTGGTGCATTCTTTGGAATGTATTGCAAAGATGAACAAAAGTGGACCGACCAAAGACACCGCAAAAAAAAGCAGTCGTCTTCTAGGGAAGGTCCAAGGTCGTAATACTCTGAAACCAATGAAAATGATCTTGGTGATGAAGAGCAGGTCCCCACCATACTTCACCAAGGAAAGGTAGGCCTATCGGTAAGAAGAAGGAGAAAAAGATCGCCGAGGTAAAAATCTTGTCGCTCATGGAGAAAACCTATACATGGAAGCAATGGAAAATATATGGCTCAAGAGAGAGAGGTAAGAGTTGAGAGAGATTAGGAAAAAGAGCGTAATGATCAAAGATTAGTTGTAGAGACTAGAAGGCTTGAGGCTGAAGAAGAAGTAGAGAATAGGAAGCTTGATGCAAACAACGAGAACTACAAAATCGAAACAAAGGCAGGACGATGAGAAAGTGATGAATATGGATCTTAGTTCTTTGAGTGAGCGGCAACAAATATTCTACAAAACAATGCAAGATTAGATCATTGCTCGTTTTGGTGGTGGAGCACTTTGAGATGACAGCTTCAAGGATGATAGTGGGCTCACGCTTATGACCGGTATATTGACCATGCCATGCCACAGGGCAGTTTTTCCATTGCCAATGCATACAATCTATGCTACCAAGCATTCCTGGAAAACCTCTGCGCTCACCTATTGCAAGTAATCTGGCAGTATCATGCTCATTTGGAGATCTTAGGTATTCACCTCCAAACACTTCGACTACAGCTATAACAAACCTCTTAAGACTCTCTAAGGCCGTACTTTCACCAATGCGAATATATTGATCCATAAAATCTGCCGATACTCCATAACTAATCATCATCAATGCGGCATTAACCTTCTGCAAACATGATAACCCAAGTCGTCCACATCTATCTCTTTTTTGCACAAAATAATTGTCATGTTGTTCTATAGTTTGCATTATGCGAAGAAACAGAGGACGGGCCATTCTAAACCTGAGCAAAGAAATGAGAATAAAAAAACTTACACATAGAAAGAGCATGAGAAAAGAGGGCAAATGAATTGACCAAGATATTTGCAAACCTGCGTCGGAATATAGATTCCCCATAGGTTGGATGCTCCGAGAAATAGTCATTGTAGAGTCTAAAATGGCCACTTTCTCTTTCTCTATGAATATAGTTCCGGCCAGGTATATAACCTCCCCAACGTGGATTATTCAAAGCTAGATATTGAGTGTGGGCTTGGTGTAATGCACTAAGGATGAGCTCAGGCTCATCATCATCATCCGAAGATGAGGATGAATCTAAGCGAGAGAGACGACTCATTTCTGGTGGAGAAGGAACAACAGAGTAGAGAAGGAGCAAAAAACGAATGAGTTGGTGTATGAACCAGGTGAGTGTGCAAGCATATATAAAGATAAAATCAGGAGACGTTGGAATATAGCCATTTGGAGTAGAGCCATTTGAAATAGAGCCGTTGGAAATAGAGCCGTTGGAAATAGATTCGTTTGAAATAGAGCCGTTTGAAATAGAGACGCTGCAACAAATTTGCTGGAATATGGACTTCTAAAAAAGAGACGTTGAAAAAATTGTCATTACAAAAAATGGCCATCGGAACGTAGCTATTAATCAAAAGTATAAACGTTGAAAATATAGCTGTTAAAAATGGTTGATTTGTTAGTTACAAGATATGCATAAAATAGAGATGGAAGAAAGTAGGGAAGTAAATATGAGGGATTCTGAATGAAGGAGCCCTATTTTTGATAGAGGTTCAAAGTTTGAGGGTTCGGTTGGAGAGGCTCTTATACGTAGCCCTCCTCCTATCTCCTAATAATAATATTATTTTATATTTATATTGCTTGGAGCGCAACCAAATCTGTTGGTTCCAGTCTATGGGGTTTCAATGCTCCAACACCATACGTGGGCCCCATTGCCAACCAAAGCAAATGGTGGGCCAGGAGATGCTTCCGTCTGACGTGGTCTTATCAGGGCCCTTCCCTTTTTACCCACGAACTGGTAGAGAGAAAGATCATCAAAAGTGCTACGTGGGTCCAGCTCGAAAACGAGTGAAACCTTTCATTTTACTACTAATAACACTATGTAAAATACAACATGTCCCCCGTCCACCTAGCAGCAACAACAATATTCTTTTTTAGTACCCACAAGGATGTGTGAACTTGTTCTGTGTTACATATTTCCGTTTACATTACATAATAGAATAACCCATCAAAACTCTCTCATGCTTTTTTAGTGAGCACCACAATATTAAGAGTTAATTACATGAGCAGCCCCTTGATTTGTCAAGGGATGCCACTTAGTTCCATAAGCTTTTCTGGAGTCCTAAACTTATTAATTTATGCACCACAAGTCCTAAGTAGCCACATGTGATAAAAAACAACTATCCATTTTTTTCTTGTGGCAGCTACTTAGGTCGTCTTGTCTCTTTTTCTATTTTCGTAAAAAGTTTCACTGCATGCATGGTCGTCCCACAATGCTAACTTGTCTGCATTGTTAGTCCTTCCATGCTCAGAGGACTTAGGGCATGTTTGGTTCTCCATCACACCACATCACAACAAAGTTGAGGCTACCACATCTGCCGACATTGTTTGGGTTGCAAATAAAGTTAGGCATGTCGTAACTTTTTGCATTGATCTACAACATAAAAATTCGCCATAGATGTGGCGGCTGTTTTTGGCACCGCAAGTGTGCCGACGCCACAACGATGCATGGCAAGTTTGGGATGGGAACTTGACACGCCCTTAAAGAAGAAGAATAACCGGAGAAGAACATTATGAAACCCTATTGAATTTGGTCTTGTTTTTCTAGGCTCAATTTGTTGTTATTCTTCTTCTTCTTATGTATAAAAGGCTAACGTCCATGTTCAGTAAAAGCAAGGGAAAATTTGCTACATGAAATGTAAAATGATACCGAGTCATTGGTGAATACAAAAGAAAACACGCTGGCTTCAAGCTAACTTGATCATATAAATTGCCTTCATTAGAATAACATTTTCTAGGACATGGAGAAGAGAGAAAGGTAAGATCCTTTCCCGTCTTAGCCTAAAAAATATTGCTTTAATCGTGTCAGTGTCTGTTAGAAAGTTTGCTCTAAGCCATTTATTTTATGGCACGAACCACTCGATCATCATTTTGTAGGTGCTATAAAATTTTGTCCGTCAGCAGATTTTTTTTGTAAAGCCCTCTTTTTGCGTGTCATGAACCGCTTCGGTATCATTTTACACGTGCTAGAAAATTCTGCCGGTTAGCAAATTTGTTCTAAAGTCTTTTTTTGCGTGTCATGAACGCTCGATATCATTTTACATGTGGTACAAAATTCAAATACAAAAAATACTAGTTTAATCGCGCCGGTGTATACTACTAGCAAGTTACTCTAAGTCTTGTTCTTTCCCGTGTCGATGAACCTCCCAGTATCATTTTACTCGTGCTATAAAATTCAGAAACAGATTACTGTGCATTTTACTCATGGTGTTTGAATTTAAACCCCTGTCAGCTAACGTGGATGGGGCCGTAGGAAGAAGGCAGCAGTGGATAGAATCTGGGGTGCACGGCGGGGGAGACGGAGCCGTAGAAAAGAAATCCGCGGTGTCTCGCTTTCAGGAGGGAGGGAGGAGTGGATGAGGATCCCATGTGGCAACCGCACCTTCACATCCACACACACAAGCGCAGCAGCAAAAAGTGCCCCCAAAAATCTCCCGAAGGCCAAACCGCACCTCACGTCCTCCTCCTCCCTCACCACCGCCGCCAAAGCCGCCGCCGCCTCTCCGTCTCCGTCTCCGTCTCGTCCGCCTCCTTTCCCCTCGCATCCCGTCTTCCCCTTCCCCTTTGAGTCGCCGCGGCAGCTGCGTGGGTCTGTGCTCGCTCGCTCAGATATTTCTCCGCTTTTTTCTGCCTGCCCCGATTTTCCTCGGCGCCGGTCCCCTCCGATTCCAGCCCCCTCCTCCTGTCTCGCCGACCGCTCTCTGCTCCCCCGCTACTCGCGCGGAGATCGGTCGGATTTCCCCACCGCAAACCACGCCGATTCCACTCCGCAGACCTCTTCCTCAGGGACGGGATTGGATTAGATTGGTGGTGGATCTTCTCCTCAGGGGACGCACAAGACCATCGTCGTCGCCTAAACTTGGCCATGCCCATGCCCATGCCCGCTCCCGCGCTGCTGCTCCACCTCCACTGCTACTAGACCAGGCCACCCCCACCCCCACCCCCACCTCCCCCACCCTCACCCCCACGGAGGACGAAGAGGCACCATGAGGCGGGGTGGCGCCAAGGACGACACCGCGCCCGACAAGGTCATGGGCCCTCTCTTCCCCCGCCTCCACGTCAACGACACCCTCAAGGGCGGACCCCGCGCGCCGCCCAGGAACAAGATGGCGCTCTACGAGCAGTTCAGCGTCCCATCCCACCGCTACAGCTCCGCCGCCGCACCGCCCGCTCCCTCCGCGCCCGCCCCTTCCCCGGCGCCCCCATGGTGCGCGCAACGACCCGCCTCCGCCGTCCCGTCCACGTCCGCCAGCCAGGTGAGGTGGTTCCTTGGATTAATCCATCCATTTTGGTCCATGGGTTTGCGTGCCGCTTGTTAGTTTCGTTGATTATTATGACTGAGGGTATTGTAGGAGTACCAGCTAGCTAGCATGATGTCCATGAATTGAATTTTAGGGAGCAAGAGTTTGGCAGAGCGCCGAGTTTGGCAACACAACAATAGAAAATTTTACCTTCTACCCTTCTGCTCCACATCCCACAAATGAAATTAATCAAGGTTTATATTGCTAGCGCAAAAATGTATTTATTTACGCTGTAGAGCTGCCTAGGCACCCAATCTTTTTCTTTAATTATTAGCCAAGTAAGTCAAGATTTGGCACACGCCATAGTTGGATACTTCGATCAGGCTATAAGCATTTACAGTTACATAATGTGATGTGAGTAAAACATAAATTTATAAGACCATTGGACCAATAAATACAAAATAATTATTTACATACTTTCTTAGTTATTTTTCGATGCTAAATTTTAAAAATATCGATCCCCCTTCATAGAAAGGGGGCCATGAAATGGATTGAGGATGCTCCTGTTCTTGTCCACAGCTTTTCCTCTAAAGGCTTTCTTTCTTGCTGTGTGCTCGCACGCCCTTGGTATATAGGACTAGATGGTGACAGGAACAAGATACACCTTATCTATAACAGTGTTATGCTCCCCCCATCCTTTGATCTTTTGATGTTTAGCAGTGTTAGGCTCCCCCCCATCCTTTTTTTTATCTTTTGATGGTTAATGATGCTTGCATCGAGGGGGTCCTTGCCACATATGGCTTGATTTATTTGTACTCAATTCATACTATGGCATGCTCACCTGAACCTTTGCTTCTAGGTTGGCGGCAGCGATAGACCTCTCTTCCCATCATTTTGTGTGCCTTCAACTGAACCCGTTCGTTCATCAGATCAGATGAATGCCAACTCCAATGGGCGGGCTGCCAATGGTACAAGAGCTGAATCTGGGAGGCAGTCCGCACATCTTAAGAGCAAGGATACCAATGCTGCTGGACCAGCCGCAGAGTGTAGTTCAAGACAGAGAGAGAATGCCAATAAGAATTCTTCAGGGAAGAAATTGGCTAATGATGATGATTTTACAGTTCCCTCCGTCTTATATTCTGGAGTGCCTCCACATTCCAGCCAAGAAAAGCTCACCCTGTTCCCTACCACAAGTCCATGTAAGAGTGTGCCTGCAAAATATTCTAGCAATGGCAAGAGACACTTGGAAGGAATGGATGTTTCTGATGTGAAATCAAAGGGGCCCTCAGGTATCAAGGATACAGAGCCAGTACAAGTGAGGATAGACTTGGAAGACGAAGAGACAACTCCATCGTTTCAAATATTGAAAGACAAGACGGGGAGACCAGACCCAAAGGTGTCTTCATACATGGACAGGTTGAACAAATATAATGTTGCTGATAAGCAATATTCTGAAGCTGAGAGTTATCAGATGAGGACCAGGAATGAGGATGCTGTTAAGACCCAGAACCCTCCAAAAAATGGAACAGTGCTGTTGTCTAAGCCATATGCTGATAGGGAACAGAATGTTGATTCTGATATATTGAAACATGGCTTAAGAGATACAGGTGAGAAGAGGAAAAGATCACATCATGGTGTGGAACAAAACGATGATTTGTCTGATTCCTCAGTGAAATCTCTACCTGGAATGGAGATTTCTCCAGATGATGTTGTCGGTGCTATTGGTCCCAAGCATTTTTGGAAAGCCAGAAGAGCTATTGTCAAGTAAGTATCCAAAACTTTAGTTCATGTTGTTGCTGTTTTACATATTACTGAATGTCCTGTGTGAGCACATACCACCTTGGTGACCCCTGTATCAGTTAGTGTTTGGTTGACTAGGCCAAACAGTTTATGTCCATCATATCTCTCTAGACTCTGCATCTGCTGCTATCAAACAATTTATCACTGTTTTCAAGCTTTGTTCTTGCTAACTACAAATGAACCTGTATAGATTAGACATCTCCCTCTCCCAAATCCTGTTTCATTTCAAATTCACTCTCAACACTTGCATTTATGAACTAGGAGCATAACAGAGGTAGAAAAGAAAAGGATGATGCCGATTGGTGTACTTTGTGTGGTGGCATATATTGAATGTCTTTCTTCCTCTCTGTTGGAAATGTGTTTGGAATATTAACTCCCTTTATAAATTTCCTTTTGTTGTTGTTTACACTCGCTTTTCTTTAACTTCCATACAGTCAGCAGAGGGTTTTTGCTGTTCAAGTATTCGAGCTGCATAGGTTGATCAAAGTGAGTCTGCGGCAAATAAATAACTTCTTCGGGCTCATGCTTATGGGCAGGTTAACTTACGGGTGGTTTTAATTTGAAGTTTGGTTTAACCATTGTTTATGTTGACTTGCAAGCAGGTGCAGAAGTTGATTGCTGCATCTCCACATCTACTTATTGAGGGGGATCCTTGCCTTGGCAAATCCTTGGCAGCAAGTAAGAAAAAACTGGCTGGAGATGTGGAAAAACAGCTTCAATCAGCTAAAAACAATGATGAGGTGCAACCAACACAGCAGCAGCAGCAGCAGCTAGAGCACTCAAAAGAGAACACTGAAGCGAACCATCCTTCACCATCTCAAGATGATGCAGCTGAAGTCCAACATAACAATCAAGCTGCAACAAATGGTGCCGTTAGCAGTAATCCTCCCTCGATGCCTACCCCTTCTGACAACAAACAGAACAGCTGGTGCATTCCTCCACCTCCGAGTCAGTGGCTGGTTCCTGTTATGTCCCCGTCTGAAGGACTTGTCTACAAACCTTATACTGGGCACTGCCCTCCGGCGGGGAGTTTCATGGCGCCCCCGCTTTTTGCCAGCTGTGGTCCTGTAAGCCTCCCGTCCACAGCTGGGGATTTCATGAATTCGGCATATGGCGTTGCTATGCCTCGTCAGCCCCAGCACATGGGTGTTCCTGGTCCTCCACCCATCCCACCGATGTACTTCCCACCTTTTAGCATGCCGGTGATGAACCCTGCAGTGTCAGCCTCTGCAGTTGAGCAAGTGAGCCATGTTGCAGCGTCACAGCGTAATGGGCACATAGAGCAGCATACACGGAACTCTTGTAACGCGTCTCACTTGAGGAGCGAAGCGGTATCAGCCGGCGTTTGGAGAGTCCATGCATCAAGGGACAGCGAGCTGCAAGGCAGTAGCGCTAGCAGTCCTTTTGACAGGCAGCAAGGTGAAGGGAGGGGTCCTGTGCCACCCTTTCCGGCATCTTCAGTTGGAAACGGGCAAGCTCAAGCTCAACCCTCCTCTGGAAGCAGGGAGAATCCGAGCAGAGTCATTAGGGTTGTTCCCCACACTGCACGCACTGCTTCGGAGTCAGCAGCACGGATTTTCCAGTCAATACAGATGGAGAGGAAACAAAACGACCCCTGACTCGCAATCGCACGCTGTATGTTACTTGACCCGTAGAGTTACTATAATTGTTTAGCTGAGAGCCTAGACAAATAGTGCTAGCTACTGTATTATTTTTTACCGATAATAGCTGTTATATATGATTGCCGTAAATTGGCTGACCTGATGTTTTGTTCAGTGTAAATACGCGGGGATTCAGGTGTCTGTCAGAATGATGGCCTTGTAATACATCTGTAGCTATGTTGGTTATGATGCTGTATACAGGAACTGGAATTTGTAACCTTGAAGGATTTTTCTACTTATCTGTTACGGAAAAACTAGGGTTTGTCTTGACCTGCAAAGGTTCTGTTGTAGGTATGCTAGGAAATTCAAACCTGTGTGTTATTTATATATGCTGATGTGCAATGTATATTGTACAGGTATGTGCTGATGATGTTGCCAGTATAATGTCATGGTCCATGCCTGTGCCGTCTGACTAATTCGTAGGTAGAGAACTCTGCTGCCATCATATGTTGACGGATGATGACGCAGAAGCGTTTTGGTCTATCCCTGTGATGTTGATCTTGGAGACAAGAAGGTTCTGCCCTGCTCCGTTTCATCGTTTCTATGCCGGGGGCTTTCAGTTACAAGAGAATAAAATTACAAAACAGTTACTGTACAAGAGAACCTTCCTGTACACTTTTACAGTGATGGCACAAGAAGTGTAAGCACTAACAAACGTGTATGTATGTCCACAATCTTTGGTGCGACATTCGGTGCAGATCGATAACTGAAACGTATATAAAAAGGTAGGGGGAACAAAGACAAGGCGACCGTGGGCCGGTCAGTCGGAACGGGCGACGGCGGCGCAGGCCTGGGATGCCACCTTGGCCATGGCGTCCTCCCCGACGCCGGCGTTGCAGATGTTGGCGAAGGCGCGCATGTGCTTCATCCCGTACTGCGCGAGCGGCCCGCAGTGGCGCTCGTACGCGCGCACCATGTACTTGAGGCAGTCCCAGTCGTCGGCCAGGGGCTGCCCCGCCGGCCGCACTGCGCCGAGCACCCTGGGCCCTTCCTCCGACCCGAACAGGAGGCCGCCGATGAGCTCCATGCTGCTGTCCACGCGGGACCGGCGGGACATCACCTGCAGCAGCCGCCTCCGGGCCTCCGCCTTCTCGGGCGTGCCCTCCGCCGCCCTGCGGTACCTCTGCCAGAAGTAGACCAGGTCGGCGTCGCGCTGGTTCACGGCTGGTCCACGGCGGCGCTGCTGCTGTCCACGGCCGAATAAGCTGATGACGGTGGCGTTGTCGTCGTTGGCGGGGTCGGTGCCCATGAACGTGTAGAGGCTCTGCGCGGCGAGGCCCTGCACGTCGCCGTACTCCATGACGTGGGAGCCGAGGCTGTAGGTGCCGTGCGCCGACGTCCGGTCCTTCACGGTCTCGTATTGCTGCCTCAGCGACTCGGCGCGGCGGTCGTGCGCGTCGCTGTCCTCCATCCACGCGACGCTGTAGAGGTCGCCGAGGCAGGTGTCGAACTCGGGCGGCGGGCCCGGGTCGTCGCCGGGGCAGTAGGTGCCCCAGCTGCTCTCCTCCGCGTTCGCCGCCGTGGTGGCGTACACGGAGATGTCTGACGGCAGGAGGCCCTGGAAGATGCTCCCGGACTCGCACGCCTCCAGGTAGAACACCAGGCTCCGGTAGCCCCCCGCGGCGTGCTTCTTCTTGAGAGCGTCCACCAGGTCCTTGGCGTACAGGTAGTCGTCGGACGGCATGCCGAGCACCCCGGGCCCGCCGTGGTCGCTGTAGTAGACGAAGACGTGGTCGCCCGGCCCGCTGGCGACCACCTTGCCGCTGCCGCCGCCGGTGACGGCGGACTTGTTGCCGAGCAGGACGGCGAGGAAGTTGTTCACGTTCACGTCCTTGCCCGTGTAGTCCTTGGGGACGCCCGCGTACACGTCGCCGCCGTCTGGGTGGTTGATGATGACGCCCGGCCTCGGGTTGTCGGGGCTGTCCGCGATGTCGTCGTACATGAAGACGATGATGTTCTCGTCCTTGAGCCCGCCCTTCTTCATGATCTGGTACGCGTGGCACACGTCCGCCTGTCCATGGATGCAGCAGGATCAGCTCGAGTCGAGATGGCCAACACACGCAACACGTACGAATCGCCACATGCAGAGTTGACCACGCACACAGGGGTGATTGCAAGCAAGCATATGCATATGCATATGCATAATGATCATGAAATGGATGGAGGTTAATTAAACAAAAGAAATTATACTAGAGTAGTAGTGTGCATGTGGCATGATTGTTACTGTACTTATTATAGGAGTGATTATTAGTTACTAATTGAATTGATTGATTCTTGAACAATGCAACCCCGATGGATAGGAATTGGGAATAGAAAAAAGGGATGCCAAGATATGCCAACCAGATTCAGTTGGTAGCAGCGAATCGCCAAAATTGACTTCATTTGATCTGATTGCGTATGATAACCAGAATTCTGTAGTATTGTTTAGTACAAGTATATGATACTTTGAGTGTGCATAATAACAGAATCAATCCTTTAACTTGCACCAAATTCAAGCCCAGCTACTGATCGATTCTTCTTGTCTCTAAATATTGCAATTTGCAAAGCATGCCATGATGATCATCAAAATCAATCCAATCAAGATTGAATTATTTCAAATAAAATATAGAAGAAGAAGAGATGGAATTATTTCAAGCAACGTAGGGATGAATCCAAATCAGTCCAATCAAGATTGGCCGTGGGCAATGCAGCAAGAATAAGAAGCACCAAACACGCCTGCAGGTCGTCATCCATTGATCCAGTAATTGATAATTTTACCTGATGGCGGTAGTTGTAGTAGCCATTGGAGCCGGCGATGAGGACGGCCCACCTTGTCCCCACCGCCGCGGCATCGTCGTCCTCCGACGCCGACGCCGACTCCGACGGCAGGCGGAGGAAGTCCTGCCACCGTGTGCCGCCCACTGCGGCGACCAGCACGAGGAGCTGCATGGCAAAGAGGAGGAGGCGACTACTCGCCATGGCTCGCTAGCTAGGCGCTGGTCAGAACCAAACAGAAAGACGGCAATGGAGGCAAACTGCCGGGTCGCGTGGGCGGTTGCGTCGACTTGAAGACTAGGGAGGGAGACGGCCCGCGGCCGATGCAAGTACTCTCTATTCCTGCTCTACTCGTGTAGGGTGGGGAGTCCTGCTGGGTACAAGTTACAACGCCGCAATTCCTCTCCTGTCTCCTCCCTCATATATACCGTGCCATGGTGCTCCACCTCCACTATAGCCTACCCCTCCTCCGATCACGTATCCAAGTCCATCTATCTATATTTATGCGTCATATTTATATATTCTATAATCCATTTTGAAATCAAACTATATATAGCGTGGTTATTGGACGTGCGGTATTCTAACTCGTATAAGCATGTGTCGTGAGTTTGAGTCACTAGCAGGACAATAATCCAATTATATAGGACTCTAATATCTAATTCATCGTGGTCGTGAGTCACGTACTGCTGCTTCTTAGTAAAACCGGCTATAACTCTTATGTTCCAGAGAGTGGAGAGACACATGGACAGTGAGAGAGGATGCGATGGACAAAAAAATAGAAGAATATAGATTCCAACTCCAACTCCTTTAGCTTTGGTTAGTCAGTCATCAAGCCAAGATGAAAAAAAAACTACTTGCATAAAAGTTAATTGGTGTTAAAGTACACTTTTCAATATATATAATATAATTATTTAGAATTGGTTTTGCTCGTGTCCATAATGCTCTCTTTTTTTTTTTTTTGCTCATAGGCATGCAAATTATTTATAGTTAAAAAACAAATAAGATACAAATAAGTCTAAAGAGAACTGGTACTAGTTTTATACTTTTCTGAACTAAAATAAATTAATTATTAATTTTTAGAGATCAAATTATTTGGTTGTTGCGTGCAGCTACCGTGAATGGTCTGGCGTGCTGCGTAATCTCGAGTGACAGTGAGTGCCATGACCCATGAGTCGTTAACATTGCGCATGCTTGCTTAGACGCAAGCTAAACGATCGCTACTTGCTCGTCGCAAAATCAAATCAACATGCGTACCATGGATGTAATGGTATCCATCTGAATCGGGCAGATAGTCGGTGTCAGTGGGAATCGTTGCATTCGCATTTAATCGCAGCGCTCTATAAAAAAGGAGAATTTAAGCGCCACTCACCACAATTCTGATAAGTCTTCACCTCACTTTTTTCGCCTTCTCTTCACCCCTCACAGAAGCAAAGAATCTCCCTCTTCCAAAGGTTCAATTTTTTTTTTCTGGAATATTGGGCACAGCCCACACATACAACCCACTGCAGCAAAACATACAGTAAAGAAAGATCAAGCAGAAGCTGATGCTTCCGATTCCAATTCCAATTAGGATGGCCTGGCCTCCACCAACACAGGAAGTTACATTACAGCAGCGATGCATCACCAACACCAGAAGCAGATTTCCAAACAAGATAGGCAGGGGGGTAATCATCAGACTACACTAATTTATTTGCTTCCACCGTCAGATCATGTGCTCCACAGACCATCAAATGTTTTTTTTAATGATGAGGGGTGCCTCAGCACAGTCCTTCCTTCTACTGCCTCTCTACTGTGAGTGAAGTGTGATGTGGCTCACAACCACATGATACATCACCTATCACCATGCTCCTAGTGATAGGCCACACTAAGCATTTCCCAATGCTATTATGGCATGGCCACAAAAAGCAAGTGGTGAACATGCAGCAACACCTAGCTACCAAGTATTCCTCACCTCCTCCTCAGCCGGGAAGCAGCCCCGCACCCAGATAGGGCATTCTCATTAACTGAGAAGCTCAGCGCCTCGTTGATCCTGCTGAAAACAACTCGGAGCGGGATGCACGCGATAGTTCCGCCTGCCACTTTCCCCACCGCCGACTTCCTGTCATCGCCGTCTCTCTGGCCTGATGCAAAAGACGAAAGCCTCCGCATCTTTCTCGACGAGGACGCTGGCTTTTTGGTATGCGGCTGCCATAACTTGTCCACTTCTTTCTCAGATGGCCTTCTGCTGTGGCTTTTGGGTTTTGGCCGGGATGTCTGTGTTGATGATGGCACAACACGTTGCAAACCCTCAGTTTCATCCTTCTTCAATACTATTCCATTCACACTGCTTGTAGCAGGCCGCTGGACATCTTTCCTTGATAGAGGACGGTCAAACACATCATCACTGACCTCCACGGAGACTGGATACCCCACGACGGGTTTACGATTCCACCTACTCATTAGAGAAACAAGGGGCACACGGCGCCCTGAGTTGCTGCTCCCCAGCACACTCAACTCCACATCATAAAGGGTGGGATTCAAATGCAGTGTCTTGATTGGCTTCACTGCATGACATCTTTCATGACCCAGCGGTTTCTTTTCGGGCGGCAATACCTGCAGTGGCTTCTCAAACACCAGAGATGATATGGAACCACTCTCACAGTTTGAATGGTTGCTTAAGGTTTCTAATGACTCTTCAGGATCACACTTGCTTTTACAGCGTCGCTGCTGAACTCCACCAACACAATCCATGCCACAAGGAACTACGGCAATATGCATTTTAGCATCATGTTCAGCGGGCTTGTTCAGCCTTTTCTCCAAAAGGACAACCTCATCTCTTGCTGCTTTGTGCTTTCCTGTCTTTGTTTTGTGGTGGTCACGATCATTAGAATCTCTTGTCCTGTTCTTGCCCTCCTGATCAACAGAACTTATGGTTCTCATCTTAATATTTTTGCGTGCACGTTTCTCAGCTTTGCGGACGTCATTAGCTTGTTTATGGGGTTTCCAGGTAGGATTCTTTGTCAATCCACAAGGTTGATATCTATGCAAATGATCTGGTGAAAATCACTTAGTCAGTATAGCACCCTTTAGAGGTTCAGAAACAGGAAGAAAACATCACATATGCCAGGAAGTCAAAAGATAATATGTCAAATTACCACAGTGCATCTAAGCTAAGATCCAACCTAACATCAGTTTTGTATACTGACCAATAAATCTACCATTCCATAAAAAAAAGCCAATTCAGTTGCATAAGTAACCTTATGTGGAATTCTAAAATAAATAATAAAACCTCTGTAATTCCCAACAGAGATATATAAAAAAAAACTACAACCAGCAGAGAGCAGTATGATCAAGGTGATCAATCAATCAACATTAAAAAGGGCAACTGCAGGCAGGCCTGATGGTCTCCCTGATTTCTCTGTACTGAGCTGTGGATTTTTTTTTTTTTTTGAGTTTTCGAGCTGTGGAATTTTGGACACAAGAAAATAGCCATATTGTCATCATGACACCTTACCAAAACAAACAGGCTAGAGGTAGAGTGTAACTATCTAAGTATAAAATGCTATGCATCTTCCAGAATCTGTTGAAGTTAAACATAAACAAGCGTCACCAACGCTCATGCATCTAGATAGGCAACATAAATGATGATTGCCATTGTTAGAAGACATGGTACTGCTATCAAAGAAATCACTACCTGAAAATACAAAGTAGCAGAGCAGGTTTACCTGGTTCCACGATATTTTGTGCAGCAGGGGGAGTTTCGACAAAATCATTCCCATGCCGGGAATCATCACTGAGTAGCCTTGTCATGCAGGATATTTCTGTGCCCTTTGCTCGATCTGTTTTGAATGCTGCGCTGCGATGACAGCTGTTCATGTCCAGTGGAGTATCCAGGGTTGAAGTGCCAGAGGAGATGCTTGAACATGTAGCGACGTCTAACAAATGTTCATCGGCCTTCTGGCCATTTGGTCTGGAACCATTCCACATGTCTCCATTGCAGAGCTCCGCGAGCGGGCGAGACCTGTCCTTCTTCCTGGGGATCCCGCAAGGTTGGTCCTGATGCGCAGCAGCATGCTTCCTCTTTGTGGTGGCCTGAGAGTGCACAATTCTTTTGACCTGTCCATCATTAGGCAGATCATCATACTTGGGAGCAGAGATTGCGGCAGAATCGGGCAAGTCCATTGGGGGGACCGTCTTGGATCCGATGTCCCTGAGATCCCTCATGCGGCGGGACCCTTTGGGCGCATCGTCCTCGGAGTCATAGGGCGTCTTGCGCTTCCTCTTGGGCGGCGGTGGTGGCGGCGGCAGCAGGGGCAGCGGCGGTGACGGCTGAATGGCTGGAGAAGCATCCTTTGCTGCAGCATCTTTGACTTGCCCGTTGGGCATTTCAATTTTGGGCCTGGGAGAGCAGCAGCTGCCAGCATGGAGGTAGGCCTTGGTCGCCGGGCCGAGAGCGCGCTCCTTCTCTATGTCGAGGGCCTGGAGAATGGCGTCCTCCATGCGGGCGTACCTGCCCTTGTTGTAGCTCCAGGTGGACCTGTTGCCGGTGGCGGCAAGGGTGAGGGCGTTGGTGATGCGCTGCTCGAAGTCGAGCTCCCCGCAGCGGAAGGGCTTGACGCGCTTGCACCTGTCGAGGTTACACCAGTCGCTGTGGCAAGCGCAAGCAAGGGTTCGTTAGACTTAGAGTAGCTCGCTGCCCCAATTCTATGCCTTGAGGATTGAGCAGGAGATTGACTGACTGAACTGACTGACATGGTGTAACATCTTGCCAGTAATAGTACGGAAGGAACGAAGGAAGGAAGAAGCAGCATACACATAGGTTGGTCCGTCGGGGCGGCGGCCGAGGAGCATGATGGGTGTGGCGGGGCAGCGCGGCGGCGGGGGGCAGCCTTCGGGGACGTCTTGCGGCGAGATGACGATGCTGGGCCACCAGGAGCCGTTGGGGCGGCGCAGCCAGACCAGGGTCCCCTCCACGGAGACATCCACCGCCGGGGCCCCCTCCTTGGGCAGACCCCCCATCTGCGGTGGCACTGGCGCTGGCGCTCCAATTCCAATCCCCCCCCTCCTCCTCCTCCTATCCGGCAATCTGATCTCTCCGCCTGGGCATGGGGAGGGACTGCGGCGGCGCGGAGGGCACAGGGTGCGGGCTCCGCTCCCCCCGTGGTGGCGTGAGGCGAGGCGGAGCAGTGGGGCAGTCGGGGAAGGGGAAGAAGGGGAGATGAGAGTGCTTGTCTCTCTGTGGAAAAAAATTACAAAAATGACATCGGGTGAATGACAAGTGGTCCATCTGTGTCTATAAATGTGAGTTCAGTGTCAAATCTGCAAACGACCGATGTTTCAAGTCTCATTTTTGCAAATCGCCCTGCTCTCGACGGGAGTATAGTGGACTATGGAAGAAGGAAGAGCCTTTTACCAGTGTGCCGTTACGAAAGATGATGCAGGCCACCGAAAAAGTTTGAATGTGTTCTAATATCACAACGCTAAACTTTCTTACCTTCTATATCATTCTGTCCATTTTTAGCTTTAACGATGTTAAACTACGTTGAAAAAAGTCTAAACTACCTTTAGTTCTACTGGTATGAATGTATGAGATCTTTTAATCTTAGCCACAAATATAGAGATGAATGGTTAAGGTTAATTGTCAGTATAAGTGTATTTCTAAAGTATTTCTGAATTTATTTTTTAAAGGGAAATGGTTATATAAGGTGTGGGCATGACTTCACGGTGAGATCATCAAGCTAGCTAGATGGACATAGCAAGGCATGGTTCTGCTCTGCTGCTCGCTCCGGCCTCCCACGTGGCGTTGCGTGCGTGCGTGCTGGGAAGGGTTGTAGGGGTGCTGCGCCTAGCTCGGCCGGCGGCGGGATGTGGGTGCCTAGCTTCAAGACCGGTGGCCGCCCATACTGGCGGCGCCAATGAACGCCGGAGGCGGCGGGCACAACACCGTCACCAGGCGCATCATGGCGTCGCTCAAGATCTCGACGACGAGTACGCCATGGTGTGCACCGCCAACAGGACCACCGCGTTCCGCCTCCTCGCAGAGTCCTAAGCGTTCCGGCCAGGGAAGCAGCTACTCCCCATGTATGACTACGAGAGCGAGGTCGTGGCTGCCATGGCCAACAGCGCGCGCCGTCGGGGCACTGAGGTCACCTCCGCGAACTTCGCCTGGCCGAGCATGAGGATCCACGTCACCGACCCCCTGCTCATCGCCATCGGCAACCGGCTGCGGCTCATACGCGAAGGGGTCCTTCCACCTGTGGTAGTCCCTAGTAGTCGACGTGGAACACCAGCACCACGACGGCGGCGCCGTCCCCGGAGTCCTGCCCCAGCCGCACCGCCACGACGTTCGCCTCGAGAGACGCCACGCACCCCTGCGACGCGGACAGCTCCACTAGCACCGGGCCCGGGCCCGCCTCCTAGTCCTCGCCCTCGACCGTGGTTGTGTCGTCCGGCGTCGATGCCGTCGCGCAGCCCCTGCGCCCGAAGCATGCCAGCAGTCGCGATGCCATTAGTGGGGTGGTGGTAGCTATGTCGTGTAACGAGCTAGCAAGCGAGCGAGCTGCCGTGCAACGGTGTCCACGGCAGGCGCCCGCAACAGCTGGGTAGGAACATCACGGCGAAGGGAACCAATCAGGCTAGTGAGCTCGCTGGCACGTTGGCCCTTAGCACATAGGAGCAGAGCTGGAGAAAGGAGCCACATGCACATGTGAAAGTTCTAGTTTGATTTGGGTGAAAATGATGAAACCCTAAGTGCTAACCTAGTTTATCAAGTGATCATGAGATAGGTAGTACATTCTAAGTGATAAAGCAAATGAAGATAATGATATGATGATGGTGATGCCATGGTGATGATCAAGTGTTTGGACTTGAAAAGAAGAAAGAGAAAAATAAAAGGCTCAAGACAAAGGTATAAGTGGTAGGAGCCATTTTATTTCGGTGATCAAGACATTTAGGGAGTGTGATCACATTTAGGTTCGATAGCCGTACTATTAAGAGGGATGAAACTCGTATCAAAATACAGTTATCAAAGTGCCACTAGATGCTCTAACTCATTGCATATGCATTTAGGATCTAGTAGAATGCTAACACCCTTGAAAATATTTGTGAAAATATGCTAATACACATGTGCACAAGGTGATACACTTGGTGGTTGGCACATTTGAGCAAGGGTTAGGAACTTCACCGACGGAGTGTCCGCCCGTAGAGTGCGGACAGTCCGACGGTGCCACCGACGTCTTATGCAAAAAAGACAGGCTCTCACAGAGTAGACCGGACGCTGGCCTGAACTGGACCGGCGCGTCCGGTCAGTAGAGGCAGTGAAGACGCTGGCGTCGATCTTCAACCGAACGCTGGGTCACTACATGGCCGAACGTTGAGTGGGTGCGTCCGGTCCTGCTGACGTGGCAGCGCACAGATAAGAGGGTGACTGACCGAACGCTGGGTGAGTCCGGTCAGGGGTGATCGGACGTGTCTGGTAGCGAATTTTCACCTCTGTAACCTTACTGGAAACGACCGGACGCTGGTGTTAGTGCGTCCGGTCACTTCGAGTAGCGCGTCCGGTTATCACTTGACCGTTGGGATCGGACAGTATTTGAAGAGGGGGATGACGTGGCAGCCATCCGTTGACCGGACGCTGGCAGGGTACGTTCGGTCGATCGGACCGAAGCGTCTGGTCTACCCGAGCAGTGCCCAGTGAAGGGGTACAACGGCTCTATTTCGTGGGGGCTTCTATTTAAGCCCCATTGCCGGCTCTAGCTCACTCTCTTAGCCATTTGAATTGAAATAGCAACCTTGTGAGCTTAGCCAAAGCCCTCCCACTTATCTCCATCATTCATTCATCATCTTTGTGAGATTGGGAATGAATCCAAGTGTATTGCTTGAGTGTTTGCATCTAGAGGCACTTGGTGTTCGTGTTTCACTGCGGGATTCGTTTGTTACTCTTGGTGGTTGCCGCCACCTAGACACCTTGGAGCAACGAGGATCGTTGAGTAGAGGTTGGTGATTGTCTTCGGCTCCGATCGTGGTGGTTGTGAGGGGTTTTTGACCTTTCTCCGACGGAGGACTAAAATGTACTCTAGTGAATTGCTCGTGGCTTGTGTGATCCTCACCTTGTGTTGGTTGTGCAGCACCCTATTGAGGGTTTGGTGTATGATGTCAATTAGCGCGTGAACCTCCAAGTGAGTGAATCGCCACAACGAGGACTAGCTTGCCGGCAAGCAAGTGAACCTCGATAAAAAATCATTATGTCATCATTTGATTCCGAGGTGATTAGTCTTTATTGATATTCATTCTTGTGATTGATTGGTTCACTCCTCGACACGGCGGTATAAATATCTTGCTCTCTCTCTTTACAATACTGCAAACTAGTTGTCAAGCTCTCTAGTGTAGCTAGTTGTGAGAGCTTGTTAGTTTGGTTAGTATAGTTTTTAGTTAGTATTTGAGAGCACACTATTTAGTGTAGTGACATAGCTATTGTGTGGATATAAACTATATAAACTAGAATTGTGGTAGGTGGTTTGTAATTTTAGTAGGCTAGCGCAACACTTGCTTCGCCTCATAATTATCTAACCGGTTTGCTAAGTGTTATTGTATTATTTTTTAATAGGCTATTCACCCCCTCTCTAGCCATGATGACCTTTCAGGCCGACGGCGAGGTACGCGCGGGCAGCATCGGGCTCGGCTGATAGGCTAAGGAGGAAGAAGGTGTCCGGATCACTTACAGCTTGCGCCCTACCGGGCAGATAGAGAAAGAAGGGAGAGGACAAGGTTATGAGAGAAGGGTATTTCGGGCATTGTCATCGTTTGGGCCCACATGTCAGGGCTGTCAAACGGTGGAAATCAAACAGAAGGTGGACGGAATTGTATGAAAGACAAGAAAGTTTAGCGTCATGACATCAGGGTGCGTTCAAACTTTTTATTGGTTATTGGCCAAGACCATCTTTTATAATGACACACAGGTAAAAAAGGCTCCACGCAAGAGAGAGGCCAGCAAGGCCACAAGGAGGGGTCATGGGCTGTTTTTGAATGGGCCTTTCAAGCCCACGTCGGTCGGGGCCCATTAGAACCGTCCGCGGCGGGCCGGGCGCGATCGGGATCCAGTACTTCGGGTATATATAAATGAAGTGCTCGGACGAGGTGCTTCGTTGCGTCTTCAGTTTGGCCCCAAATCGTGGAGCGGAAACCCTAGTCCCCCGCCGCAGCCGGTACCCAACCCTATCCTGTCCGCCGCCGCCCGTCGCCTCCTCCCCCAACCCAAAACCCAGAACCTCTAATCCTAATAATTCTTTCTGTGCAGTCGCCGCCCCAATCCCCCACCTACTTCACCCGCTCCGCTCGACAGATCCATACATGTGAGTAGTAGATTCTCCTTTTCTCGCCCCTTAGCGGTCGTTTGAATTTCGAGTGCTGGGTGCGTGTGAATCGCGAGATCTAGGCTTCTAGGGTTTGCGGTGCTGACGGTTTCCGTTCCGCTTCTTCTGCGCAGGATGGGAGAGGCCAAGGAGAACGACGTCTACGAAGAGGAGCTCCTGGACTACGAGGAGGACGATGACAAGACGGTCGATGGCTCCGCCGCTAAGCCCACCGGAGAGGTCGCGAAGAAGTAAGCCCTCTTCCCCTACTGTTTGATTTCTCTAACCTCTCCATCTGTTACTTGGATTCGATCTGATTCCCAACTATGCTAACACGTTAGTTGCGTTAAATAACAATATCAGGGGCTACGTCGGGATCCACAGTTCCGGTTTCAGAGACTTCCTGCTCAAGCCAGAGCTGCTTCGTGCTATCCAGGATTGCGGTTTTGAGCATCCTTCCGAAGGCAAGCTTCTCCTTTCCATCTATTCTTTTCCCCGTTGACTTCTGTGTGGCTGCTAGTGGACACTGCAAAGTGACTGCGAACTAATGATTCATTATCATCCCTAATTGTCAAGATGATTAACGATTGAAATTCTACAAATATGCAATAAGACGGTGAACTTGTATATCATACCGTGGTTACTGGTTTACTTCCTAAAACCAAGCAGCACAGTATAAATATAGCAGCAAATTAGTTCTTCCATAATATGCCTTGATGTTAGGAGGCTCAATTCGTGTGGAGAGACGGTTTGGATTCTGTACAAGTGTCTCTAAATTGTACCTTTAGTTTCTGATTATTAGGAATACACTTTAAAGACATCTGAATAGCAAGTCATGCTGTATTTTAGTCATATAAGGAGGCAACTTCTAGTTTTTGTATGCTGGTATTTCCAATGTTATGGTTTTGCTCTGCAGTGTTGGAATCTTGTTAGACATATCCAATTCCAGTGGGATTATTGCTTTTACATAACCAAAAAAGGTTCTTGCAACTAATAAATGCAGCCAAAGTAAAAAAAAAAAGGAACTACTTTTGAAAAGGTTCCCAGACGACAATGCAATATTTATTGTCCAGTTGACTCTCTCCAATCATGATGTACTTGTACATCGTTGTCCAAGTAATTTAACATGTCATAAAGCTGCTTTGTTAACTAGATATGTTACTATATAAAAATTAATGGCCAGAGATATGTTTTGAAAGCTCTCTAAAAATGTTATTTTGTGCCAGGCACTTTTAGCATATTGCTGTAACGCTTGTCCTAGTGCTCTGCTGGGCTTCAATGTTTATCATTCGTTTTCACCATGTAGTTTGTAACATTCTTGTCTTGTTGGTGTGCAGGTACACTTTCTTCTTTGGAGCAGAACATGGTAACACTTTCCATTAACACGGATCCAGAAGGTTAAACTTTTACTCACTGGGGTGCTGCTCCAATTTCTTTTGGTTCCACATCAGTGCAACACGAGTGCATCCCTCAAGCCATTCTTGGAATGGATGTCATCTGTCAAGCTAAATCTGGGATGGGGAAAACTGCTGTGTTTGTCCTTTCATCCCTCCAACAAATTGACCCTGTCGCGGGTCAGGTATCAGCACTTGTACTGTGCCACACTAGGGAACTGGCTTACCAGGTTGGTACTTGCAGAATATATGTTTCCATCAGTTTTCTTGATGAATCTGTGTCAGATTTTGATTATTTGCTCCACTTATCTTTCTGTAGATATGTCATGAATTTGAGAGGTTCAGCAAATATCTCCCTGAAGTTAAAGTTGCTGTCTTCTATGGAGGTGTTCACGTCAGGAAGCATAAAGATTTGTTGAAGAATGAATGCCCTCATATTGTGGTTGGCACGCCTGGAAGGATACTTGCTCTTGCCAGGGATAAGGATCTCTCCTTGAAGAATGTGAGGCACTTCATTCTTGATGAATGTGACAAGATGCTCGAATCACTTGGTAATACTCCTATTTTGTCAACATGTTTTAAGTACAGTATAAAAAGCATAATTAGTGTCCTTTTTCCTGATGGTGTCCTTGACAAATATATGTATGATGCAGACATGCGGAAAGACGTTCAGGAGATCTTCAAAATGACTCCTCATGATAAGCAAGTCATGATGTTTTCAGCAACGCTCAGCAAGGAGATCCGTCCTGTATGCAAGAAATTTATGCAAGATGTAATGTCCTGCAGCCTTCTCCAGCTCTCCTTTCCAAAGTCGTCATATTTAATTCCTCCTGTGGTGGTCCTCCTGTAGCTGTTAGTCATTAACCAGCATTGGAGTTGTTTAGTCGTCTGCTCTCTCTAGGTGAAAGGATTCTATTCCTCCGTGTCTCTATTTGTAGTACATAAGCCAGTCATGTCCTTTCCTTTTTCATTGTCTACACCTGTACAATAGAAGGTGGAGAGGGACGGGTGTCTGTCCAAATGGTGAATTATTGGCAATGTGTTGGCAACTGGGGGCAGATAAAGGGTTGCCTTCTGTCTTGAAGATGCAGTCTCGAGCTCCTGGTTGACATCTCCAGTTTGCTGCACACTCAATGTTCACTTGGTTTCACTTAATTGGACTTCACTGATGCTGGTTATCCAACTATCTTGTGCTGGTGGAAAAAGAGTTCTTTTGCTGGAGTTGTATTTGGAAGCACTGTTGCAAAACTTAAGCAAATTTGGAGAGATTCTAGTGTCCAACAGTGCATAATTGAACTTCTATATGGAGGCTGCATGTACACTGACACAGAGGGGTTTATATACCATTCTTTTGGTATATATACTGCAAGATTGACGCTGCAATGCTAATTTCTTTCATCTATCATTTGTTCCCTTACAGCCGATGGAAATATATGTTGATGATGAGGCAAAGTTGACCCTCCATGGTCTTGTACAGGTAACACAGGAATTCTCGTCTCTTGAGTTACGGCACATCTTTTTTTATTTGCTTTATCTAAATAATTGGAATCATATATTTTGCAGCACTATATAAAACTTAGCGAGGCTGAGAAGAACCGGAAACTGAATGATCTCTTGGATGCTCTTGATTTCAACCAAGTTGTGATATTTGTGAAGAGTGTTAGCAGAGCTGCCGAACTGAATAAGTTGCTTTGTGAGTGCAACTTCCCATCAATCTGCATTCATTCTGGAATGACCCAGGAAGAAAGGTAATCGCTCGAACTCACACTGCAGTTCATTTCTTGCTTAGCTGTGTGTGTGTTTGCCTGAGGAAATGAAGTTGAATGGGTATTAATGTTCCATTCTTCTGGTCTTTGGTATGCAATTATTCATCTTTGTAGCCAAATCCTTCATGGTAGGCTTTGTAATTGTTTGTGTACTACGTACTTATTTATGGGTATTGCTTGGCTGGTTGCACTTGCTCACTCCATTGCAGGCTTTGTTATCCAATTTCCTAAGTTTTCTTTATTGGTGTACTATGTCCTTTATTTCTATATATAGGTGTTGCTTGGCTGCTTGCACTCGCTGGTTGATGATTGATTGTGCCTCTTTAGATAATGTATATATCTGTTTTGTCATGAAGATCGTATGATGGCTAGTTAGGTAATAATTATGCAATTTTGATGGCATGTATTGTATTGTTGTGGTTTTGTTCTTTGTACTATTAAGTGAATTAATTATAGTGTATAAAAATAGCTTTTGTGTTGTTTTCCGACACATGCATTGTATCTGCCATGTACTTATTTTTGAATTGATGTTTTTGGTTGGCAGGCTAACCAGATATAAGAACTTTAAGGAAGGCCACAAGAGAATTCTTGTGGCTACAGATTTAGTTGGCAGGGGCATTGACATTGAGCGTGTCAACATTGTGATAAACTACGACATGCCAGACTCGGCTGATACTTATTTGCACAGGGTAACTTTCGTGTGCCCTGCTATTAACTTTAGTGAGATCGAAATATTTTGTGTATGCTGATGGTAGTGCTCCTAATGCTCCTTGCAGGTTGGAAGGGCTGGTCGTTTTGGCACGAAGGGACTTGCAATTACCTTTGTTTCCTCTGCTTCGGATTCTGACGTTCTTAACCAAGTAAGTTTCCGTGTGCCCAGACTTTGTTTTTTCGTCCATGCAATAACTTGGCCTAACAATGGTATACAACCTTTGGAAGGTGCAAGAAAGGTTTGAGGTAGACATAAAGGAGCTGCCTGAGCAAATTGACACTTCCACCTACAGTAAGTGGTGCTTCTTTGTCTTGATGATTGAGGGATATATCTCCGCAGTTATCTTTGTGTTTTGTAATGTGGCCGTACATGCTTCTTGTATTGTGATTGTCAGTGCCATCGTAAGTGGAAGACCGCCATTGCTGCAATGCATTCTCACTGTGCTTCAACTGAGAAGAATAGAGCAGGATAGTGAGTCCGCTGTCTGGAGATGGTTACTTTTGGAACTATGCGATCTGGAGGATTTGTTTTGCCTCCTTTGTACCTTAAAAAAGGCAGTCAGGATGATGATCTGTATTTTGAGACATGCTGTCTGTTTGGGTCCTGTAGGCCTACCTAAATTGTGCTGTTCTGTTATGTTAGGATTTTGCTTTGTCAAAAATTAATTCACTTATTGTACGAGTAAGCTGCATATTTGTTGTTTTTTATGTGTTCTGCGGTGGTTAACTTAGTATTTGCTGGGTTAAATGATGTTTTGACACCCTATTTTGTTGGGGGCTTGCTGTCGTTCGGCTGCAGGTCTACGGCATGACTCGCCAAAAGGTTAATGTGTACCCCCAGTCGTATCTTGCAGTGGCAGTGTACCATTTACTCCTCTAAACTAGGGTTCAGATTGTAAAAAATTTCAGTGGCGTATTCTCATGGGGTTGGGCCATTTCTTTAAAAAAAAATGAAGTCAGAAGTTGCCATTTACTCGTATAAACTAGGGTACAGAATCAAGGTAAAAAATTTCAGTGGTAGTCACGCGATTGGGCCATGAGACCTTCATGGCATGTGTCAAGAACTCATACGTAAATAACGGCAGTCGTATATGACGCAGTCAAAGCATGTTAATACGGAATCTATGAAAGGAAGCATGTTATATTGTTTTCGCTGTTGATCTTTCATTTCAGGTGTATTTATTGTTGGTCTTTCATTTCAATCTAAAATTGTCTCAGTTTGACAGACAGAACAAGCTGTGGCTAGGAATTTCCATGAAGTAATCCTCATTTCAACCGAGATCGCCTCCTTGAATTTATTTATCTCTGTTCATATGTAGAGGCATGGTATTTGTGTGTATGTTACAATATGATAGAGGGGGGCATAATGCCATCATCACCGCACCTAAACTTGGTTTCTTCTTATACAAAAGGGCATGCTGCTGCCTGCTTCTGATCTGATACAAAACGGCAAAGTTCCAGTATAACTTGTATACTAGAATAGATAATCAGTTGCTGCTAACCAGCATATATTGTTAACATTATACAAGCAGCCTTATACTCTTATTCCTTCCCTCTCTAGTCCTCTGGAGGGAAGCAGATACATACATACATACATATACACAAATATTATGTAACATGTGTATTAACTGTCTGTCAACTCATCCAAACTCAGGCAAAAATCTTCTCCGCAAATATATCAAGGAGGGAGAGTGCCTGCATGCAACCACATGAGAAATTTTTCTGGATTAGCCTTTGCACTTGCACAGTAGCTTAGCTAGCAGTAGCAGTAGTAAGTATTCAAGCTCACCTCAGGGACACTGAGCTCCAGCCTGAACTTGGGGCCGTCGTAGTGGTGGAGGATGGGGCGGAAAGCGTCCTCCTCCAGCGGATCACAGATCTTGCGCGTTGCAACCCTCACCTATTGGTCAAGATTGGCAATCAAAACAGGGATTAGATCAGATATTACTAGACTGAATCAAAACATTATTAGACCGGATCAACACGGAAGTCAGTTGAAACAGATGGAGACGGGCGACTGAATCAAGGCACACCGACAGTGTGTGTTTGGCTTTTGTGTGTGCATGACATAAACATATTGACATGACTAGGCCAACAAGGCAAAAGCTTGACAAGGCCACATTCACCCAACCAAAGTTTGACAACTTGATCCATTGATAAGGTCGGCCAACCACCTTGACTTAGACAATTAGAAGCATCCAGTCCTACCACCACTACTTTTCTGTGCATGCAACTAAAGCAAGCATTTTTCTTTTCTTTTGACGATTAGGCCAGCTTGATTGATGTGCAGGATCACATGAACCAAGTAATCTAACTAATTGTCCCTATCTTTTTTTTTTTTTTTTAATTACCATTTTATTTCACACAAACTAATTCTGTGGTAATATGATTGAGTACTCTTTCCTCATCACAGAGAGCGAGGAGGTTGAGCCTCCTCCGTTGAATTGTTCAGGATAATATCAGATCAGATGCCTACCTGAGAAGGGAAGCGGGACTCGCCGGGGCACTTCTTGTCCTCCCAAGCTTTTGGATCGATGTTGGATCCTCCGAAGCTTGCAGCCTGCGTGCGTGCCATAGATGAGACCTTTTTTTTTTCTTTCAGTATGAAATTAATGACAAGATAAGATGCTGAAATGATGGGTTCATATGTATCATCTGATCGATATGATGAGTAATAATAATAAACATAAAAGAGTAGGTATTGATTTGGACCTCAAAGATGCCGTGGAGCTGGTGGGTGGAGTAGTTGTAGAGGAAGAGGGGCAGGCCCGGCCTGATGGCCCTCACCGAATCCCTGTACCTGGACGGCAGCCCTGCAGCGCAGGAAATCGATCAAGAGAATGATTCAGTATTCCGATTAGATGGAATTGGAATGGAAGAATAAAAATCAAAACTTGGGAGTTGATCTTGGATTCGATTCGGTATATATCCGATGCTGGAATATGTATGTAGGGTATAATCGATCCAATTCCAATGAACGGGAAATGAAGACGGAGGATGCAGCAGCTAGCATACCGAAGAGCTGCCTCTTGAGGTTCTCCTCCATGGTGTCGTTGTTGCAGACGAAGATGTACCCGCCGATGGCCTCGCCCCTGGGCAGCGCCTCCGTCGCCGGCAGGCTCTTGAACCTCTTGTCGACGCCGGCGCCGTTGCCGTTGCCGGAGTTCTTGAGCTTCTTGTCGTGGTGGGCGGCGGCGGCGGAGTTCTTCTTGCCGCCGCCGACGACGTTGTTGTTGTTGGCCGGCCTGCCGACGGACTTGTTGAAGTAGCTCTTGACGGCGTCGTTGTTGGCGTTGGCGTTCCTGTTGAGGTAGTAGTAGTCGGCCACGTCCATGGTCTTGCCGGCGGCGGGGATGGCGTTCTTGTTGAGGTAGTAGTCGGTCACGCTCATGGTCTTGCTGGCGGCGGCGTTGGTGTTGGTGTTCTTGTTGAGGTAGTAGTCGCTCACGCTCATGGTCTTGCTGGCGGCGGCGTTGTTGGAACCAACACCGGCACCGGCGGCGTTGGCGTTGTAGCGGTCGGCGCTGGTGGTTGTGGCGTTGCCGAAGGCGAGCTTGGCGGATCCGATGAGGCCCGGTGCGTTGGTGTTGCCGCCGGGGAAGGAGGAGGGATTGCCCGAGGAGGGAGGATCCGGTGGCGAGGTGGTGGAGGACCAGATGGAGTCGGCGATGGAGAGGTTGGAGAAGTTGTTGTGCAGGCGCAGCTGGTCGCTGAAGTTCCAGAACTCGCGGTCGTAGGAGGCGTCCATGGCGGATGGATGGATCGGGATCTTGGCTCCGGCCGGTGGCGGTCGGCAGTCGGGTCCTCCTCAGCTGCTGAATGGACGAAGAGGACGGATGCGATGCCCGGGACTGCCGGATGGGAGGGGTTGGAGAAGTAGAGGACAGGGAAATCAATCAACAGGGGGAGGAACCAGAAAGTGGGGGCGGGCCGTGCAAGCAAAGGCAAAGGTGCCGAGTGGCCACTGGGAACTCTGGGAGCTTCCTTTGCTTTCACTCAGTAGGTAGGTATCATTATTTATTCAGTTTCCTTTCACTCATGTTCCCACTTACAATTTGTATATATAATTTTATATGTCATACAAATTCGTATATATAATAATTTTTAAGTATACTTTTGTACGTGGTCGCGTGGTCGCGTATTGTATATATTTTAGTCCTGCATAAAGATTTTTGGCTGTACTCGTATGGGTTTTCTATATACTCCTAATCAATCGCAGTAGATCAAAGAGAATTTGTCCTGTTCGCTTGGCTGATAAGCTATGGCTGAAAGTACTGTTGGCTGATTTGTTGTAGAGAGAAAAATATTATTCGTTGGCTGAAAAAGTATGGCTTATAAGTCAAGCAAACATGGCGATTACACACGGTTATACTGCTTGATGTATACAAGAAATGTCCAATCTCTGCCATATGTGGAGAGTTTGTTTGTGCATCGTACGTAGGGTTTGCAGAGAGGGGCGAGTTGATGACATGTGTTTTGTTGTATCGGAATTTCTATGAAGGGCGGAGCCAGAAATTACTGATAGGAGGGTCAAAGTGCTAAAATATATATTATTAGAGAGGTCAAATCAATGTTTTTTATTGAATTATACAACAAAATATCACGTGCATAAGAGAAATTCATCTAGGCCCTCGTTTAGTTGCGGACGAAGTCGGCGCCGGCAGACACACTGTGGCTACAGTGTTTACTGTAGCATTTTGTTTTTATTTGGTAATAATTGTCCAAACATTGACTACTTAGGCTCAAAACGTTCGTCTCGCAAAGTACAACCAAACTGTGCAATTAGTTTTTGATTTCGTCAACATTTAGTACTCTATGCATGTACCGCAAGTTTGATGTGACGGGGAATCTTTTTTTTGCATAGTGCCAAATTCTGGAATTTAGAGTAACTAAACAGGCCCTAGAATAGGGGGTGCTTTGCCCCCCTCAGCCCCTCCCTCTCTCCACCCCTGTTTCTATCCCCATATCTCCGTTTATAGTCCAGATGGCATGGTTATAGATAGAATCATAGCTTGATAAGTTGTTCGTTGGTTTTCTAGTCAGTTGCAAAGAGCTCCGGATCAATCGAATTGTATGAAGTCTCCAACTGCACCCTAAATATTCTTTGCCCACCAAGTCGATGAAGTATTTAGGTTTGTGTCATCCTTGACTGTCGGCCTAGCCCATCTCTTCAGGTAGTCGACAATAAGTTTTGTGTATGAATGTGTTATATTAACTTCTCAATAAGTTTATGCCATATTAATTTCTATAAATAACTTGAAAATAGTAATAATATATAAAGCTATTTTTCGATGATTTTTTAAAGAAAAACACCATGCTAAAAGTTACCATGACTATTTTTGTCTACAAAATTATGTTAAAATTATATTGAGAAAATTACAATAACAAATTATAGTGATAGGTTTTGTGCGACAAAGTATGATATATATAAAAATTGTGACCATGATTTTGTAGCTTTTGAAAATAAAAAAAAATTGTGGAAACGAATCTTTCAATAAAAAGAATCACAGGGGACGCCCGGAGGGACACGCGCCCACACCCACTGATCGTGATTTGACGGTCTCTAATAAGAAACAATCTTATTATTAATCTCCCTGTTCCGTTCCGTTCCATTCCGTGCCGTTCCATAGCTGTCGAGGAAATTTCCTGCTTCCGTTTCCGCGTTGCTGCAGGGAGACAATTCGACCAAGCAGGAAGAAGAGCATCTAGAAGCGCTTTGTTTACACCAACTATTGGTGTAGGACGGCTCACATCTAGCCATACATTTAAGGCAGGAGTTTATGTGTATTTCAATATGATTTTAATACAAAATTGATGTCACATAGATATTTTGATGACATGGTACCATTTTTTCTTAGATAAATTAGAAAGTGATAACGTTATTGTTTTTTTTTGATGACATGGTACGTCTAAGAGAGATTGGATCGACATATCATGAGATTAAACCTAGTGTTTGGAGATACAATTCATGACGAATAGGAACAGTCAAACCAAGAATTTCGCTTACGGACCATAATATCCGTGTCCCACATCTCAACCAGGATGTTGCATCCGCTGGCCACTGCCTACCATGTTTGTAATAATTCCTCGGTCCCAAAAAACTTGATGCTTTATGATTTTTAGGATATACTAGACTGTCTCCAACAAGGAACCTATATGAGAACCTAAACCCAAAATAGGTAGCAAGAGACCCAAAATTAGCCTTCAATAGAGCATCTATATGGGAGACCTATTTTGGGTTGTCTGAGAGACACAACTTAAATATGAACATCATCTCTTCTGGAAACCCATTTGCAGAAAGGATTATCTTTTGGGTCCTGCTGTTGGAGAACCCTTTGCAGCATCAAGGTTTTTTTTTTTGACAAATTTTGAATCATAAAACATCAACTTTTCTAGGAGAGGGAGAGAGAGAGAGTACTTGCTATCATGTGCATGCCAATTGTACTGGCACAGTGGCACTCTTGCTAACACCAATCAAGGTACACACTTAAGCTGGCTCTAATTTGTGGTGGAACCGGAGGTTCCTAAACCATGATGGCTACGGCTAAAGCAGCAACTTGGCTGGTGAACTTTATAAAAGAAAACTTGGTAGATGACACCTGTCGTGTGGTGATGCATTGCAAATAAGACAAGGTCACTTTATGCTAATAAAGCCTTTTTTTACATTGCTTAGTGGGGAAGCTTAGGTTTCACATAAGACACTAGCTAGGGCGAGGCGATGGATGGATATGATGCCGACCCTTCACCAACTATAGGCTAGCTCACAAGTCACAACCATATGACAACACTTCTAATGATACTTTTCTCACATTACTTTACTAATTATTCAAATAAATGTTGTTTACACAACAATAACAATGGAAGTTATCAGTTATTTTTAAATAAGGCTAATAATGATTATGAGAAAACGAGCCGAGAATAAATAAGAAGATTTGGTAAAAAAACAACTTCTGAAGGCTGAAGCTGTCGGCGAAGTTTTTTTCTTTTTTTTTCTCCCAACGAGAGTGACCTACTCCACTGTCGTTTCGTTTCAGTTTCTTTATTTGTCTTTGTTCTTTCTGGTTAAGGCACTAGAATGCAGACAGACCGTGCAAAAAAGCATGCATAAAACAGGACAGAACTTGTGACCACTGAGAGTGTCTTATCCTAGGGCAGAGGTATACACTTTCATTTGTGGAAAATAAAAAATGCACTAATAAGTTTTTTTTAGACAAGCGTACTCATATAATGTATTAGAGTAGATTAAAGTAAAAAAATTAACTAGTTTTTCTACCTCGATACATGTAAATTGAGATGGATTAGAGTGTAGCCAAATAATACAAAGGGCCAAAGAAAATAAATATTTTAGTCTGCACCACTAATTACCAAGATCTATGACAAAATCCAAAAATTTTGGATCTAAACGGTTTTCTATAGCACTAATTACCAAGTGAATTTTTTCACCCAACTATCCATATTTATTTTAACTTTTTCTACCTCGATAATGAGTTGTGGATTAGAGTGCACAAATAATACAAAGGGCCAAAGTTGTTTCATTTTTAGTTTTGAGTGAATTTTTAGGATCCATATTTATTTTTCTTATAAGAGTGTGCACATACACCTGTCGTTTCATTTTAGTTTCTTTCTTTGTCTATCGTCCCGTTCGCTGGTCTGAAACTTGGCTGAAAAACTATTCCGACTAAATTGTTATGAGAGAAAAACACTGTTCCGGCTGAAAAAAGAAGCCAAACAAAATACTGTTCCGACTGAAAAAAAGAAGCCAAACAAGCCGAATATGTTCTTTCTTGACAAGGCACTCGAACGCAGACAGACCGTGCAAAAAGGCATGCATAAGACAAGACAGAATCTGTGACCATGAGAGTGTCCTGCTAAAATATACAGTGCAATGCAAACCCAAAGAAGTGTAAACATGCAAACATTTTTATTTTGTGGCAAATGAAAAATACATTAACAAGGGTCTTTTAGATAAGCACACCCACTTTTATGAATGCATGCACACGACCTTATTTGTAGCACGCACACACGCACACACCTTATTTGTAGCTCAGATGTTCATAGGGGTGAAGAAAAACAAATATCTTAGTCTGCACAAAAAAACTATGATAATGCGTTTTATAGCTTCTGTGTGAATTCTTATGATGTACATTTCTATTTCCTGGAGTGCCTGGCAAGGATTAACATAAAAGCACCATTAAAAGCCCAGTTGGAAATAGTAAGATATGTCACAGATTTACAGGAGACGATTTCAACAGCTCAACCGAATTCTAGTTGCATTGCTTGCCTATTATCTCTGCTCAAGTGCTAACAAATCCACATAACACCACCTTGGTTGGAACTTGGAAGAACAAAACAACAGTAATGTACACTTGTCTTAAGCAACATCTATATAATATACGACGTACGTTTTCAGCTATAGTCTTTGTATGTACTTACATATTGTCTCGCCTGATTGCTTTCTGCTTTCACACATTAGCTGCACAGCATCTTCCCGCAGTCTACATACTTTAGTCAGAACTTCACAGGGCTCCTCCAGTGCTCCATGCAAAATTGTGCAAACCAAAGTCCATGCTATTCATTGAGAAACTACTGTCAGCTCTGGCACTCTAAATCCTCCATGGCTTGCTTGCTACACCCAGCTGATGATGGACATCATCGTTGCTTCCATCTGGCATCAGCAACATATTGTTAAGATTGTTTAGAAAATGTCAACCAATTATGGTTCAAATTGTTGAGACTAGAAATCCATACTTCCACGCTGTCTCAAAACAAAAAAGCATACGGCAATGACAATGTAGCAAAACAGAAGCAGCAGTCCCTTCAGATAATGCGATGATCCATCCTGCAAAACACGTAAACGAGTAGTCACTCTTTAGTGCTAATACCACAATATTGACAGCACTCCTATGGCCAGTAATAATACATCAATGGGCTTGATTCCTAAAAAAAGGGCATAATTAGAATCCCGCTTTGCTGCACCCTACCCTCGCTTTGTGCAATGCGAAGACCGCGACTTCAAACCGGGACCTTCCGGTCCACAATACTCTAGCCCCTTTCAATGGGCTTGATTCCTAGAGAAAATTAAATTTTGCTGCACCCTAGAAACAAGGATACAGCCCAACCGTACCAAGTGGACATTTTTTTTCTTCATAAATAAAATAAGCACATACAACTAACCAACCAAGATTTATGAATGTTCTACTAATGAAAGATCCATGAAGGACAGCCCTGGTGCAGTGGTGAGTGCTGTCTCACTGAGTCACCAGGTCGTGGGTTCGAAGCAGCCTCTCCGCAGATTTTGCGGGGGAAAGGCTTGTCTCGGTTTATCCCTTCCCTAGACCCCACTCATGTGGGAGCCTCCGGCACTGGGTCTGCCCTTTCTACTAATGAAAGATCCATGCTATCAACCATGTTTAAGATGCATCAAGGAGGGTGCAAAAGAAAAAGGAAAGAAAATACCTGGAGCGTGAAGGCCGTTACTAATACTGCAAGAAACAAAGAACCAGTCTCAAGCAAGTTGAAATCAAGATCCATCGGGACTCCCATGATCCAGGCTACAAGGACACTCAATGGCACCTAGCACGTTTTTGGTTCCACCATTAAAGTTTACTGATGCAAAAAAGCACATGGAACTATCTCTACAGGTTTAGTTAACACCCACCACAAACATGGAAATTTGTGTAGCAGAACCCAAAGATACTCCGAGGGTGATGTCCTGTTTCAACCAACAATGTTCTGTTAGTAGATGCTACCACAACATTGCAACGACTGTGCAAGAGCTCCTCAAGTTCCCTACCAGCTTGTTTTTAAAAGCAAATATGACTGCACCGGCATGCTCTGCTGCATTACCAACTATTGGAATCAAGATGATGCTAATGAAGCTGACAGATAGTTCCCATGATTTTGATGCTGCCTGTTAACATGACTCTCTGTCAGAAAATCACTAGCTGCACTACAACCTACTACAGTGTATGCGTTGACTGAAATGGGCAAAATAAACATGGCATTGTACTGCATGATGCATACCTCAATTGTACTCACAACAAACTCTGATAGGACTGCTGTCATCAGAGTCATGACCCCCAGCCAAATCATCGCACTGGAAAATCCCAGTACTGCCTCGTCTTGAGAGACCGAATCATCACCATCATCTTCGACCTACAAAATCATTTGATTGGATCACATAGTTATATTAACCAACTGGTTCAATTTTAGCAGCTCCTGGTGGTTACAATCAGCAACATATTACAAACACACCTCTTGGGGCTCAAAGAGTTGGCGGTGGGTTTTCAGTTGGAAGAAAAGGTAGGCTACATAGGCAAGGAGCATGACAATGCTACATGCTCGGGACAGCTCCAGTTCTGAATCCCAAGAGGATACTGCGTGCTCCCCAGAGCTCACAGCATACCTCAGCATCAGTGGCAGAGAGTGGCATAGCACGCCAAGAATCAGAAGTCCTGTGCTGACATCTACTTGCATCTGTACACAACAAAACCATATACTCATTTTAGTAAGACAAAAAAATTCTTTTGGTGTTTTCAAGGACAGCTTAATAATAGGTGAGAAATAGCTGAGTTGGTTACTCTGTCGTATAGCTGCTCAGTTCCAAGGTTAGCCAGGCCACCAAGGAAAAGGGAGGTTCCAAGCACAAGCAACAAGTTGGACAAGACTGAGCCAAGTAGGGAGCATTTCACCACCACTACATTGCCTTCATACAGCGCAAAGATTGCAATGATGACCTCTGTTACGTTTCCAAATGTTGCATTCAACAGTCCACCCACTGCAATTTACTCGGGCTGGTTAGGATACAACATAAAGGTTGTGGCCTAGATAAGAAGACTGAATCTGACAGTATTTATTTTTTTATTACCAGTAGGCCCTGTGTAAAATGCAACCTGCCTGCAACATTAACATATATTAATATAGCGGAAAGATTTTAATCAACAGGAGGTATCAAGAACACGGTATGATAATGAGCAGAACAAACTTACTCAGTCAGAAAGCTAAGTCGCTCAGAAAGAGGAACAAGGCCGATCAAGCTAAGCACAAAGACCCATTCCTGTTGAGTTTCACGAAGAAAGCATGCATTAAGAAAAAGGAAGGGGAGATATGCGCATGATCATACATTGGCTACAAAGCATCACTTGTTTCGATCAGTTTTAGTTCCATTGGAATGCAATACTGAGATGGAGTCCTATATTTAGTTGTATCTTGTTGAAGTTAAGAAAACGATGGTGAGGTGGCAATGGAACAAAAGAAGCGAGGCTCATTCAGCGTCTAGCAAGGTCATGTTTGTGGCAATCCAATCTGTCCTTTTTGTTTGTATATCATGTACTCATGTTTTTGGACGAGGACAGAGAAGAACATTGTACGTGTGCAAGCTAGTTCACATGCCCAGCAGGACCACGGTGAAAGACAAAGTAGAAGTTTGTCCTGATGCAAAATTCATATCTCATGGTAGGAAGAGGAACTACATATCATTAATATCTCATGGAAGGAATTACATATCACTTTTCACTGTTGTGCCTAGTGAAAGTCTAAATGAACCTGCTGAGCTGGAGCTAAAACCTGAAGCCAACCTGTCGTGTTGTCAACTGTGTCATTTGTGGGTGCTCATAGTGAGGTCAAAACTGAAGGAGTAGAAGGAAGGAGAATATTGGGCGACGGATGAAGAATAATAAATCAGGTTCTGGTGAGTAGATGGGCAAGTAGAGCAGGACCGACAAGGTGTTAGATAGGACGTAGGGGAAGCATGCTCATGCATGTGATTGGCGGATTAGTTTAGTTGTGGTGCTATTTCTTCATTCCATGATTCCATCTGTGTCAGATCGAACAGAATTTGGCAGGAACAGGCTAGCTAGCCCACATGGTCACATGTATGTATGCAAAATTACAAATACTTTGCAATTCTAGCCATCACCAGAGAGCGCGAGTCTGTTTCTCTGTTTACGCGTTGTGTTGTATTTTCTTTGACTTGGATGGGTAGTTTATGCAACAGAGCGTTATATATAGTTGCAGTTGCAGGGTTGTTTATTGTTTGGGACAAGGGCGATGTGCTTGGGAAGTGGCTGGCAGGCAATAGATTGGTAAGAGGGAGGTGAGATGCAGAGAAGAGAGCGGTGAGAATTGAGGCGGCACATGAAGCAGATGCAATCTTGCCTCCTGAGCCTGGCTGGCCTCTGGTGTGATCAAAATGCTCTTTTTTATACACGTATAAAAAAACAATCTATATCTGTCTCCCGGTCTGACTGTGCGCGTTGAATGATGCAGAGAATATCAATCGAAGAACATGCCCAAATTTTGATCGAACTGGAGTACTAAAAACGAATATACGAGCGAGAAATTAATGGGAAAAAAAGATGCAATGACAGTAGGAGGAGGAAGAGGAGGAGTTGCCTGGCCGACTTGGAAGATTCGCGCAGCGAGCGCGAGGAGGACCGCGGGGAAGAGGAGGGCGAGCTTGGTGGCGAGCAGGACCTCCTGGAAGTTGTCGAGGAGGCGGCGGAGCGTGGCGCAGGGGACCTTGCGGAGGAGGGCGAGGTCGGACTTCTTGCGGAGCGAGGAGGAGGACATGTTGTGGGCGGTGCGGTGGGCGAGGTGTCGGGCGGGCATCTCCTTGGCGTTGCCGTTGGCGGCGGAGGAAGAGGCGGAGGCGGGGGAGTCGAGGAGAGCGACGGCGGCGGAGTCCATGCCGATGCGCCACCTCTGCTCCTCTGCGCCAACAGCGGCGCCGCCCCAGTAGGGAAGCGGGGGGCCGAGGGCTGCCGCTGCCGCTGCCGCTGGATCTGGTCCTCGTGTGTGGAGCTGGAGCCGCGCCTGCAGGCCTTTGCCTTTGCCTTTGCCTTGTGATATGGGCATGTGGCTTGGCTGGTTGGCTGCCGTTCACCTACGGTGGGTGGGCCTCGCTCGTCAGTCACCCAGCTCCAGCTCCTTGCTCTTCACCGTCACGGCGTCACCGTCGCCGTGGCTACAGAAATCAGATCACCATCACTGAAATGCAATTGGGCTGCTGCTGCTTGCTGGGGGTGGAGGCAAAGGCAACCCAACGATGGATGCGAATGCGATCGATCTATCACATGGACGTGCGTCCACATGTATTGTACTACGTATATACTACTAGTAGACAGCAGACAGGTGACATCGTGCTGGAGAGACAGGGAGAGCCCGAGGGAGGGACCGAGGGAGCGCGCTGCTGCACCTTGCAGCCTGCAGTGCAGATTGGAATTGGAATTGGAATTGGCCAGCCTCCTCACGCGAATACTGTTCACGCGAACGGTGTTTTCGGTATTTTTCTCTCGCACAAATCGGCCAGCAGTATTTTTTCATAAACCAGCAACAATACGAATCAGGCAACCAGCCAACCGAACAGGCTGTATATGTTTATTTGATCCGAAATAAACTGATTTATGCTTAATTCATGTTGTTCTACTTTAGGACAGCTTGCTAATTATTTGCCACTATAGATTTTTGTAATCCCAAATTTGCTATTGAAATCTCACGAACACATTACATATGCATTGGCCCAAAAGGCCATTAGCGTTGGAAACCATGCACGGGATTTTTATCGAAACTGCAATGGCAAGGGTAGTGAAGACTTTGGGTGTAACTGGTAGGGACAGATTCTCGCACAAATGTTCTAGATCTTCTCTCAGGAAATATTTCTAGAATGAATTAGAGTCACTTTGTGAGACCATTGGCTGATAGGTTGGATTTTGGTTTCTCAAACATATGTTTTTTCAATATAAAAAATCTTATAAATGGAAACATGCTTCACAAGAAATAGAACTTTTTGTGTACCAAGAACAACTTAAACACAATCCATTTTAACTTGTTGCACTTAATTCTTGGTAAACTACAAGGAAAGTCCATAAGGTGAGAACAAGAATATATCGGTGTGAAACCACATTTTAGCATATTCAACCATGTAGATGTAGTGCAAAAAGAATAAACGTTTTCTCTATGTTTCTGGAGCTAGAACGCTATCATTCAAATCGTTTAGTCAATTCTGGTGTCCCATGTCTGAATCAGAAATGTTCCAAGATACCAAATACATCCTTAGGTCCTCTTTGCAAGGGCTTCGGTTTTATCCAAAACAGTGAAGCCAAAAAGGCGTATTTTATACAGCCTGCTCGTTTGATTGTGGTTTGTCGTAAACGATCGTAAATTTTCAGCCGAAATAGTATTTTTTTCTCACACAAATCAATCAAAGTGATTTTTCTTCACGAACCAAAGAATCTAAACGAACCAAACCAACCGAATGGGCCTCAACTTTTCTGACAAAAAGCAACTTCAGTTTCTTTTTTTTTTTCTTCCTGATTTTGGTTTCACAAGCCGTTTTGGTTTTGTGGGCGTTTGGCGCATGAAGAGAGCGTGAAACAAAATAAAGACACGAGAGCACTTTTTTGCCGCCTCATAAACTTCGCTTATTCACATATCATACGAGCCATCCCTGGTTTGGATCCCTATTTGCTAATAGTTATCTTTTTTTATACAAACAGGTGCAACTAACAATATTGGCTTATGTAGATGCTGATGCTGAAATGTTGTGAGAGAAAAACATTGTTCTATGGTTAAAAAATAGTGCTGCTCACGATATTTCAACGTAAACATCAGCATAAGCCAAATTTTAGCATAAACGAACATGAACCTCTAGATAATAACTATCTCACTAATTGAACCAAATTAAATAATAACAGCTAATAGTTATCTTATTAGTATTTTTTATTAGTTGTGCATCCAAATACCCTTCAGCTAATATTAGATAGGAGCTATTAACCAGCTAATTATTAGCCGATAATGAATCAAACAGAGCCTAAGCTAATTCATTGTTTCATCACTAAAAAATTGTTATCTTTACCTACTCCATCTTCTCGTACTGAAAAATGGAGATTTAAGAAGATACATACAGTACATGTAGGTGAGGTGGACCTGCATGCTCATCCTTCGGATTAGGATCGGACGGTCGAGAATAGATGGACGGGATCACCTGCTGGTGTTGGAGAAGATGGCCTCGAGATCGTTGTAGAGGCTCTTGGACTTGGACTTCCACTCCCCACTCCTCGCCTTGCTGCCGCTGGTCGACGCCTCCTCCCCGCCGCCGCCGGCCGGGACCGCATTGCCCTCCTTGCTGAAGCTGGCCTTCGCCATCTCCCGCAGCTGCCGAAGCCACCACCGCTCGTTATTGGAGCCCCTCGAGCCCCGGGAACCCTCGCTCCCAATCCCGCCCCTGCCCCCGTCGGCCGCCGTCGACGCCGACACGCTCTCCGCGGCTCCACCGCCGTCCGGAGGTGGCGGGTCCTGCTGGTTCTTCACCGCCACCCGCTTGCCGAGGACCGACGACGGCAGCACGAGCAGCAGCAGGCCCAGGCACGCCGTCTTGGCGCCGTCCAGGAACGAGCTCCGGTCGGCGCTCAGCAGCCGCACCTGCCGGTACAGCGCGTTCCACTCGTTGCACACCTGCGCCGCGAACCCCAACACGAAGGCGCCCAGCATCGCCAGCCCCACGCCGCGCGCCTCGCCGTCGGGCAGCCACCCGCCGCCGCTGGCAGCCGTCCTGTCGATCAGCGCAAGGCACGCCGCGAACACGGCCACCTCGCTGGCCACCGACAGGATCTCCACCAGCTGCACCCGCTTCTTGATGAAGGGCTTCTTGAGCAGCATGAAGAAGAGCTGGAACGAGGCGACGGACAGCACCGCCACGGCGTGCGCGCGCGACGACCGCCCCGACGACGCGTGCGCGCCGGCCACGATGCCAACCGCCACGCGCTTCACCGACTCCAGCAGTGTGAAGTAGATGCGGAGCACGCCGAAGAGCTTCTGGATGAAGGGCGCCTCCGAGTCATCGTTCTCGTCCTCCGACGCAATCATCCGCTCTGGTCCACCGCCTGCAAGGCGGCGCTTGCCGCCTCCGCCGCCGCGCGTGGCGATCTGCGTCAGCATGTGCTTGGGCGGGCCGCGCAGGTCCTCGAAGAGCGGGCCGAGCTTGAGCAGGCAGGCGGCGCGGCGCGGGTCCTTCCACGTCCACTGCCCACGCTTGCCAGGGCCCAGCGTGCGGCGGACCAGCTCCTGGTACCAGTGGTCGTACTCCTGCGCCTCCTGGTGCACCTCCTTGTACTGCAGCAGCCTGCCCATGGTGATGCCCAGCGACAGGAACAGCAGCAGGCCCACCAGGAACGACGTCAGGACGGCGGTGAGCACGATCCCTACCACCAGGCCGTACGTGGTCCCGCCCCTGATGAGCGCCGCCGCCGCTTGGGCGACGCACGGCATCGCCAGGACGACGACCATGATCTCCAGCCTGGGGAGAACCAGTGCGCCGTAGCAATGCTGCCGCTGCTCCCCGTCTCTGTACCTCAACTTGAAGTAGAGGAGAGTGAGGAGGTGCAGGAGGATGAGGCCGCCGCCGATGACACCCAGCCAGAACATGTTTCTGCTGAAGTACTTCCACCTGCATGTAATGGACATACAAGAACACATGCTCAGCGGTTCAGTCCACTTTCTTCATGCTACGCCATTGCACAAGCAAGCATCGTCAACAATGCAACATACCCATCCAAATCTTGTAGCTTCATGATGATCTGTGCCTCAGGCTTCATGTCTGGGTTCTGCAATGTTTTAAACTTTGCTTGTTCATTATATATCCAGACTTCATCAGAACTTAAGCAATGCAAGCAGTAAGTAGAACAACTGACCTCGAAGAAAGAACGGTACTCCATTGCAGTCAGCGGCATCCCGTCCAGCGGCAACGGGGTCTGCACTGGCATCACCGGCGTGGCGTCTCTGGGAGTTTGCATCGGCGGTGTGGGTTTCCGATCTTCAGGGATCTCCGTTGGGAATACCGGGTCTGACGGGATGATCTGCGTCGGCATCATCGGCTGACCTTGTGCTCGAGGATAGGAGATGTTTGCAGTGCCAACGGCGCTCCTGCCGAGCAGCTCCGAGTATGCAATTGCGGGCATTGTGGAGTATCCCAGGAATGGATCTGCGGCAGGGCCTTCCCATGGAAGACGCATGTATGGGATGCTCCACTCTATCCCCTTTGCAAACTCGTAGTACTCGATTGGCAGGTTCACTGACAGCCATCTTGACAGAGCAAAGATTTGGATGTGGCACGCCATCCTCTGAATAAAACTCACAAGATCAATCACCAAATGGCCTATACACTATCACCCATCCATCTGTGATGTAATGTAACCATGCATGAAGAATTGAAGATGGCATGTCATCGACGGCGTGGCGTACGTACCAGGACATTTCTTGATGGCTCTGAGATCATGTAGGCAGAGGGCCTCGAGATAGCTCCGGAAGCGACGAGAGACGAAGTCGAGACGGTGAGGAGCGTGGCAACAGCAGCAGTTGTCAGAAATATGACAGTGGTGATTGCCGCGATCCAAGACGATGACGCGGGCACAGAATCTGCAGATGCATACAGTACATCAAGTGCCCTGCTGCCTGCCTAATGAGTGTCTGTAACTAGTATGAATGTCTGAAGCAAAGAAGAAGCTCATACAGTGCCTCACTTGAAGACGGTCTGATGCTAGGTTGGGGTTCCCGGCCACGTCCTGGGCTGCGTTCTCAGCGACCTGAACCGATACCAGCTTATCGACTGCCTGTATCTGCAGCGTGTATATGCTCTTACTGGCTTCATGGAATCTGAAAGAACAATGAACCATGAGATGCTAATAACAGCCTTAATTAGTTATCTTCTCCTAGGTGAATACATCAGGAGATGAGTCACTTTGTTTAAGATTGTATTTATTATTGCTTAATATATAATCTTGCCTCAACACATTGCCCCCAGACACCTGCACTGCCGAGGAGCTGAGGTTGAACACAGGCTTTGCAAACTTGATCAGGACCGAGATGTCACGAGAGCTGGTCCTCCAAGTCGATGTGCCGAGTTTAACCCAAGGTCTCTGTGTGTCTATCACACAATGTTACCGAGCAGAAGCAAAAAAACAAAGAAATGAGTAAGTTTAAACAGCATCTGAAAATGCTAGTCAGCTGAGTATCAGTAGTAGTAAATTCTAAATTAGGTGGAGCAGAAGCAGAGGGTGGATCTCTGTGCTAATAACTAACCATAAAGAAACGTGAATGGCTCTGCTGAAACCACCGGAGTCCCTTGCCTGCTGATAATAGAGCTTGTGTCGCAGGCAACAGTCACAATGACGGTGTCAGACATCTTGTTTACCTAGTTAGTAGGATCATATATAGTATGTCAGAGAAACAACTCGCAATCAGTGATTCGAAGGAATGAACGAAGAACATGGAATTCGAATTAGGAAGCAGCTAGCAATGGCTGATCTGAAAGAGAAAAAAAATACAGCGTGTATGAACCAGTAAGTAGGTGCTGCTGCTGCTGCTGCTGCTACTTACAACATAGCCGAAGCGGCGATTGCCGAGGGTGCTTCTGTTGGTGGGCGTCAGCACGGCGTCGGTCGCCGTAAGGGCACTCAGGATCTGCTCGGACGAGTTGAGCACCGGTTGAGCGAAGGAGAGGTACATCCTTAAGTTGTTGTCATCGTTGGTGGCCTTAACCAGCCTGGTGACGCCCTGTATCTGGAGCATCTTCTCGGGAACGGTGGCGGTGATGTTCATGGAGTCACTCCTTCGATCTGTATTTACAGAGCGTTTTTTCTAACACGCAGCGTGGTAGTGATTCATGGAGAGCTAGCATGCATGTCGTCGTGTTTCAGTTCAGTGTGCATGGCGTGGGGGCGTACCGAAGTGCAGGGTGAAGGTGGAGTTGGGCGTCCTGGTGAACGGGTGTCCGGCGGCGTCCGTGCAGAAGCCCCTGCCCATGACGAGGATGAGGCGGCCGTACTGCGCGTCCGGAGAGATGGCGACGGCGACGGAGTAGCGCAGGCCGGGGCTGAGCACCTGGAGCGTCGACGGGTCCACGCTGCCGGAGCCGTACACGATGAGCTGCAATGCAAAAGAATATGATATGATATGCATGCAGTGAAAACGCACGCCAGTTTTTGGCTGCGCGTGCGTGCGTGCGTGCAGACAGAGACAACGAATACAGCGCAGCGCAGTACATTGCAGTAGGTGGCGTTGCAGACAAATCCACCGCGGCCGGGGCATGGCTCGGAGAAGGAGACGAGCGCCGACACGGTGGAGGCCGCGCTCGTGAACGCCGGCCCCGCCGACACGGACGCCGTTGGGGGCACAGTGTCTGCACGGTGCAGGTACGCAGCTCGCGTGATTCACAGTCGTCACAGCAGGCTCACAGTTACAGAGAAGTGAAAGAGGGGAGATGCAGGAAGGCTAGGCAGCCATGTTTGTTACTCAACCAACATCCCAAGCGTAGGTGGCGCAGGTGGGGCTGGACGATGAATTCGAAGGTGACGTGGTTCTCGCGCACGCCGTGAAGGTGTGGTTCCCGTCCTTGAGCCCCGCGTAGCTCGCCGCCGCCGTCGTCCCGTTGCTCCCGCCGGATCCGCCGCAGGGCGACGCCGGCTCGCCGTCCAACTGCATGGATGTACATGGCATGTAATGTAAGCACAAGCATCCATCCTTAGTGTTGCTGTTCCTACATCAAATTCAATGGCACCTAGCATGCCGGTGTGTGGCTCCATACCAATTCCATTGATAGCAGAAGGAGAAGGAGCAGGAACAGGAGCCAGGAGGAGGAACAAAACAAGAAAGCAGCAAACAGCAGCCACATGCATGGCCATGGTCAGCGGCTCAGCGCTCATCTGCACCGTGCTGAATGCAGGCAGGCAGCAATGCCGTGGCCCGTGGCCCGTGGTCCGTGGCCGTGACCATGCGTGCATTTGGTATGGTACCTGGCAGGTGACGAGGCAGTCAGCGCAAGGCCCTCCGGTGGCGCGCAGGACCCGGAAGGCGAAGGCGGCGGACGTGGACCTGGAGACGCGGCGCGGGGTGGCTGAGAAGCTGAGGACGACGTCGCCGGCGCCGGAGCAGAGCGGCGCCGCAGCAGCGAGAAGCAGCAGAGCAATGCGCAGCAGCGGCGGCGGCGGCGCAGCGCCCCAGCTCTTCCACAACATGCCGTCCTGGTCCTCTGCCCGGAACGGAAGCAGAGGACGAGTGCTCCACTACTCCTAGAGCAATGGTGCAGCCGGCCTGGCCGGCCGGATAAATGTACTGCTGCACGGCGCGGCCGCTTTGTGCTTGCTCTGCCTCTGCGACTGGAATCGTATCGTTGTGTGGGTATTCGGTGTGGTAGCTCGCAGCAGCTACTGAACTGAATGCGCTGGCCTGGGAGCTGGGACTGGGACAGCAGAGAGAGGCGAGCTGGGGAGGGAGTGGGGTGACGATGAATGCGCTGTCTGTGCTGGCTGCCTGGCTACCAGAGGCAGAGTGGTGGTAAAAAACTAAGAATGGAGGCTGGCTCAAGTGAAAAGAGGTAGGAACAGAGGTACTACTCCAGTAGGTAAGGTAGCTGAGGTGGAGCGTGGACGGAGGAGGAAGAAGATGAGTGATAGCTGACAGGGGAGGGGTATATGCGAGAGATGGCAAAATTGGGGGGCATCCGCCATCCATCCATCCATCCATCCCATGTGAACGTGATTCCGGCCGATGCGTGCGTGCCTGCCCTGCCTGTGGAGTGTGGACTGTGGTGCCTGATTGGAGGCCGGAGGGAGATGATGATCACTGATCAGATGATGCGCCAAACTGTCTCTTTGTCCTGCTCCGCTGCCTGGCCTGCTTCTCTGGTCTCATCTTGCTCACTCTCACTCTCGTTCTGCTTTCTTTCACCGTCAACCCAGTACCAGTACGTGCTCATTAGCGGACGGACAAGAAGAGAACAATGTGAAAGGAGCGGATCCACTCCATGCATTTTCTTTGGGCTCATGATTCAAGCAGGATGATGCTCCTATCAACTACGAGTATTTATGGTACTACTAGCAAGTAGAAAGTACTAGATGCCTGATGGATGGGCGATTAGATCCGACTGTACATACATCCTAGTAGCATAAAAAATGGCACAGAACGAAGTCCATGCCTGCCCTGCCTTTCCCATAGGAGAGGCACAGGCACAGTGCAGGAACATAATCCATCCCTGTCTGTCTTTGTGTTGGTGCCATGCATGCAACTTGAGCATCTCATCTTCTTTAATGGAATCGAATGCCCGTGTATGAGGACTGAGAGGAGTCATTGTCCTATTTTATTTACCCGTTTGTTTGTTCATTCAAAAAGAAGAAATGGCCTAGTTACCCAGTCAAACAAACCACATCACAGCTATTACTACTACTAGTAATGCATGCAGAATGGCGATCAGATTCAAACAACACAGGACCGCCTGATGCTGCTGCTGCTCCCTTATGATTCTGCAAAGTGGACCATACCCGGCCCGTAAGATCAAAGGTGTAAGCCTGTCTGTAAGGAATACATTAATCAGCAGTGACAGTGAGCCACAGATTCTGTAATTTCACTCACCAGCGCAAGTCCAGTCCACCACATCCCTCTAGTTAGTATATATGCTTTTTTTAATAAAAATAATGAAGATCTCTGTGGCTGGCTGGTTGGCTCGGTGAGATGAATGCACATGCACAGGCAAGAAGCAGAAGCCGCCACAGCGTTGCAGGTGACCTAATTTCCGTTTTTGTATTCTTCACTCACGGCAGCAGCGCCAGCAACTACTACAGAGAGTATCTTATTTCGGATCCATGCCATGATGCAATGCAACACAACTGCCAATACTGCCACTGTATCACCAAAACATGATAGAATAAATTTTCTTTATACTGTATAGCAGTAGGGAAGACAAGTGGCGTGCGGGGGTGATGCAATGCAGACTGCAGTTGTGCAAATGCCTTCGATGAAGAAAAAAAAAACAAAGCTGCAAGCCTCATTCAAATCTTGCGTGAACCGTGATGGTTTAGATTAATAATTATCATAAGAATATAATGCCAAAACCATGTAATTTCATACTCACATGGCTCGCCTGAATTAGTACTGGACTCATGTATGCCCATGAGGGAAAAAACAAAGAAAAAGGAATCATCAGATAGGTCACCATCTTTCTTAGAGAGAGAGGTCACAATCAAACAATACACTACTAAACAAAAATATTCATGGTTATGTACAATGGGGAGGGGGAGGAATAAAGAACAGCGTGCTGGTCCGCAGCACACATTGGACGACCATCTCAAACTCAGAAAAACAGAGAAATGGATTTAGGATATTCTACATGTAGTGCACCACTAATTTCAAGAACCAATGTTTTGGCAACTAGTAACAGTTTATCCAGTTCCTCCCCCGACCAAAAATGTCTACATTCCTCTTCCATATTTTGATTCATCTGACCACAATTTGTTACTTGCATAACCACAATTATCTATATTACATAGACCAAACTGACGGGTCATAAAGGCAGGCACGCCATATTCCTAGTATTTCCTAGAACTAAACAAACTACCAGACAACAACAATCGACAGCAGCTGGATACACAGAATTGTGTAATGCAAGTTATCAAATGATGATCCATCTCTATACTGCTTAATCAGGACGATGACAATGCACACTTGTCAAAATTTTACTCCCTGATGAATCGATCATATGCACCTGCTAAATTACATCCCCAAGATTCCATTCTACTTTCGTAGCAATTGCCAGACAGAAAGTTTATACCTTTGCAGTGACGGTCAGAGTTATCAGCTGCTTCCGGAGCGCATCAGTGACTGTGAAAATGATGCAGGCGGTGGAGGCCGCCGAACTTCAGCGCTTCCTTCCATCATCTGAACCACGCTCTTCATGCTAGGCCGGGTCACTGGCTGATTCTGCGTGCATCAAATGCCCACCCTCACCATCCTTTCCATCTCCACCTCGTCGACACATTCCCCAGCCACCACATTCTTCAAGTCACCAGATATCACGTACTCGTAGGCCCACTCGGAAATGTTGCATTCCTCACCAGCCAGCTTCAGTTCCATGCTCTTCTTGCAGCTTATCATCTCAAGAAGCATGATGCCGTAGCTGTAAACGTCTGCCTTCACACTGATTGCCAGTACCTTGCACGCCGGTGAAAGTCTGTGTCTGGTTCCCTATTAGTAGCTTTGACAGGCCAAAGTCTGCTATCTTTGCCATCCCCTGCTGTCAATGAGTATGTTCTCTGGCTTAATATCACAGTGAATTATAGGGACCTCTATCTCCTCATGAAGGTACTGTAACCCCCTTGCAACATCTAGCGCAATCGCAACCCTGCTGCTCCAACTAGGCACTGCATCTGCCTTGAACAGGAGGTCCGCAAGGGACCCATTGGGCAAATACTCATACACAAGTAAGTGGTGCATGCCTTCGTTGTAGAATCCCAGCAAGCGCACGAGGTTACGGTGGTGTGTTCGTGCAATTGCACGCACCTCCCGCTGGAACTCTCTCTCCCCATTTTCTGCCATCCTCTCGAGCCTCTTCACTGCAATGTCCTTGTTACTGTTGGTCAAGACACCTTTGAACACCGTACCATAAGCGCCCCTTCCTAACTTGTTAGAAAATCCATCCGTGGACATCTCCAGATCCTGGAAAGAATATGATCGAATAGCTATGCTGTCATCATCAAATTCTGAGTCTTGCAGTTGTGGAGCCCTTGTGTATCGTGATGACAGTCGATGCTTGCAGAGTAGCATGAATGCTGAGGCCGCAATCAGTGAGAAAATGGCCAATGCAGCACCTGATACCAACATGGCAATTGAGCCAGTGCTCCTAGTCTTTCTGATAGCACCATTGGGTTCATAGGTGTAGACCTTCACAAATAGCGTGGTATTGCTACGGCTTAAACTCCTGCCATATCTCATTGGAAGCATCTGTTTTGAGCAGTAGGAATCGAACATTGCAACCTCACAGGAACAGTTAGAAAGACAAAGATCTTTGCAGGCTTCAATTCATGTAGTCTGTGGTGGAACAACATATGATCTATCTGACCATGTAGTATTCTTCACCTCAACCATCGTAGCTACCCGTCTGATGCCATCATTAGAGTTATTCCCTGTGCAGCCACCAGTCCGCACCCTCCAGCAACCTGGCATGCTTTGGTTAGAACTTGAGAATTCAAAACCAGGGAGGCAAGAGCAGCTAGTATTTCCATTAGGACTCACATGACAGAAGCTATTTGGACCACAAACGCCTTCACATCACACTGATCACTGCTAGGCTTTTGCCATTTGATTTAAAGAACACATGGGAGTAGAGTCGCAATATACCGTCCGCGTCCAATGTCAGATGGAAGTACACATCTGCTTTAGAAGATTGGTTTGTGAGGAACAACACATTTGTATATGTTGTTTGTTGGTCGAACATCCATAGTGTGCCATTGGGATCCAAAGCAACCGTGAGGAGGTAGCCATTGCCATAGGTGCCAGTATTCCAGTATGAGCTATCAGGGTCGACTGCATCAACAGGATACAACACAAGATTGCCATCTAGCTGGTTGGAAAGCCGATACTCCCCTGTGGTATGGTTAGTCTCAGATACACTTGAGAACAGCTGGCTACCAGGAAGTAGGTTCTGTCCTGGTAATAAGGTATCCGTCGAAGAACCAAAGGTGGACAAAAGGACCTGTTTTTGGCTGTTGTACAACACAAAGTTGCCAATGTCCATCATCGCAGCAGAGGCAGGCTGAGTAGAGGTGGCGAATATGAACTTCCCTTGGCTGCCAGCGTTAGCTGGAATCCATTGAATACCACCATAAGTTAACTGAACTGAGCCACCGGAAACAGGGGGTCATCCCGGTTGGCAGTCCACACAATCCTTTTGGATTCACCGATGATAAGCCAGACTCCGATGGAGAAGCCCTCATCATCAGGATAGAAGCCAAAAGCAAAGCGCCCCGAAGGTGAGACCCAACTTTGCACACCGCCTGCATTGATTGTGGCCCCCAAAGGAATTTCAGTCTCGTTGGCCTGAGCAGCCATGGCAGGAATAGCTTGGTTGATGAACAGAATCAGAGACAGACAGAGAATATAAGTGGCCATTGTTTCGGGGGGAGAGGTGTATTGTTGCTTGGGCACTGCAAAATGAAGTGCCTGATTCTCAAAGAAGAAGCTGCAGGGCACTCAAGAATGTCAGGCACATAAAAGGAAGTAGGTGGACCTGGTCCTGGTAAATTTAGTCAGCAAAAAAAGGGAAAGCAAGAACAAATGTCCAATTTTCTGGAGCCTTCTTAAATTTTACCATCAGCGTCTGGCGTCTCGTCCACGACAGTGGGGTTGGGTGAGGACAACTCAATATGAAAGACAAGTAGGCTATTTGAATAGGGAATTCTCCTATGTCCACTGCAGTCAGGCCAACTTAGTGATGAATAATCATAAAACAACGTTCTCAACAAATCATGTAAAAAAACTCTTACCTCGAGTGTGGAGTAGGTAACACAACTATAACAAAAGCAAAACCATAATTAAGTCTAAAGGCTAAAACCAAGTCATGTAACTTTGTCATGTACAAGGAGGCTGCAGGCCAAACATGCTTGTTATTATATATACATATAATAAAAAGCACCCAGCCAACCCACACATGGTTTAAAAAAAAGAAATCTAGAAAAAGAGAAGTCATGTTAACGCACATGGATCAATGTAGATAGATGTTGCCTGATATTTGCGTGACCCATGCGCACAAGATATTGACCTGGAGGACGTCCCAGAAACAGAGTTAAGTGCTGCATAAGAAAGAAATAGCAAAAATGAAAAGGGCGTGATGTATACAATAATAATAGAAAAAACTATGCTTGCAGCAAATGCAGAGCTTAAATAAGTTGTTGGATAACTAGAGCAGTACCGGGTACCTTTGAAGTAAACATGGTATGTACAACCATATAGAAATGCTGGTATGTGAGTGATGTATTGCCGAGTTGATTTGTTCTGAACTTGGTATGAGGATGATTGGATGAAGGGAAGACAATTAACACCTTGGACGGTAAGATAACATAAGTACGCAGCTGAGTAATAGTTATTATTAGTACTAGAAATATACTAGTAATACATGAAAGTAGGATGGATTCTGGATGTTTGCCCCTGGCTGGAGTGGAATCTATCATGGGTGGGTGTGGACGAGGTCGATGCGCAGTGCGGCTGTCGACAGCTATGGTATCGCTGTATCGTCCGAATCCAGTGACCTGCAATAGAAAGGGGTTGAAGAGACAGAAACTAGGCAGTAACCGTGTTGGCCGCGCCTCCGTCCCCTCTAGCATTTTGCTGGGTGGCGCGTGGAGACAGAAGGGAAAAGAGGTGAGGGGACACAGCACACGGGGTTGGAGCAGGAGCAGTGTGGTGTCGAAGAGGGAAAAGGAAGGCACGCGCCGGCTGAGGAACGCACCACCACCCTGGGGAACGAACTCGTCGACGGCCGGCGCCGCCGCCGAGGTCCGCACCTTTGCCAGGGAGAGCGGTCTAGGATGGACGGGCCGAGCTCGAAAATGCGGCCACGGCCCACTATGTGGGAGGCATACGTGGGCTAGGCCCTGTGATGGGCCAATAGGGCAGGGAGCTTTCCAGCCCAATGGCTAGCTGCTCTTGAAGCAGTTGTTGAGCCAGCTTGTAGAGAGGGAGATGATGCGGAGCGGAAAGGCAGCTGTTTCTTCTCTTTGTTCTTTTTTGTATTCGTCTACGTACGTGTATAAAATAAATAAAAGCAAGCATGTAAGTATGGATACTACAAGATTGAGTCGATTTTGACTGTACTCTTGTCGCTCATATATACAGAAACAGAGAAAAAGAAAAGGCCTCCTCTCCCTCTCCTCCATTATATATGTAGGTGGGTATCTTGACTTTCTTCTTCTTCTTATAGTAGCAGTAGTAGTAGGAAACGTGCATACTCCACTAGAATAATTAATCATAGCACACATCCATATATATATAACAAGAATATATATACGAGATAGTAGTATATAGGCGTTTGGGTGGCACTGGCTGACTGGCACAATCAAAAGGATCTGGACACACAGATTAATAATAGGTTAATTAATGGAAAACAGAGCTGAGCATTTATATAGTATTACTACTGGTAGAGCAGTAACCGATTGAATGATTTGAATCAGTTCCTTGTCTTCTCCTTCTCCTTCTCCTTCTCCTATTTCTACTGTAATAAGTAAATATAATAAATAAAATACATGTAGCATGTCATGTCATATCTGCTGGAGTAGCAACTTGACGGGCGGGGGTCTTTGGCTTTGATTTTGACACGTACGTACCGGGCGGACGTGTGGCTGTGCCTGCATCGTCCACGTGCATGGACCGCGTCCGCTGTCTCCTGCCGACTGCGTGCTCTACACGTAGACTGACGGCCTGGCCCAGGCCCCAGGCCCAGCTCAGCACCGTCCTCCTCCTCCTCCTGTTGTGTGCGGACGGCGTTGGTGTGGTCAGGAGGAACCACAAACAGAGCAACGGAACGGAAGACGAGGAGAGAAGAAAACGGCCCTTTGCCTTCTTCTTCTTGTGTCGTGTCGCGTACCCAGCAGCCCCAGGCTCCCGCACCCGCACCCAGGCAAGTGACCGTTGTGCGCTTGCCGGCCCCCACCGCCCCCTCCCAGCATCCTCTTCCTCTTCGCCTTCCTCCTCCTCCTCCCCCTCCTTTTTAAATAGGATAGGATCAGGAGGAGGGAGAGGAGTATTCATTCATCCGTCCACCAACGTTACCCATTCAGTCAAGAAGATACTAGTAGTTTCAAGCTAGGAGTAGATCATCAGTTTCCCATTCAGTCCTAGTCCTTCTCCTTCGGGGGAGGAAAAGGCAAGGAACAACAAGAAGCCGCCAGCGCGCGCTAGCTGCAGATTGCAGCACACGCAAGGGAGCGGAGGAAGGCAGCCAGGCAGGCAATCCAGAGACAGCACGTCCACCCCGCAAGCGCAAGGTGAGACAGCACTTATCTTCTTCTTCCCCCCCTCCTCTCCTCTCTATTAGTCTTCCTGATTCTGATGATGCATCCGTCCGTTCCGCTTCGCAAATCGCAAATCCTCTTCAGCCCTTGCGGTACCCGGTACGGTACGTATGTCCTTCTCTCTCCCCCCACCCAACATTAGATCCATCCATCCATTCATTCGATCAATCGTCACACATGCAATTCAATGGTGTTTGTTGCTCACCTCCGCCTCCACTTCAAACTTGGTTTGGTTTTTCCATCGGATCAACTCATCAATCTATCCAGAGATCGCTCAACTGTGTGTACAAATAAATGTTCCTGATTTGTTCCGCTTCTCTAGTTCACCAGCTAGCAGCTAACCTGCTGCTGCTTCATCTCACGAATCATGATGATGCATACAAAGGCAGATGCAGATGCCTCCGATTCGCATCAAATCCGCCCTCCTCCTTTTCTTCCGTCTCCACTTTTTACGATTCTTAGTCGTTAAGTCACGCCCTTTTCTCCGGAGGGGTTGGGGGTTTGCTCAAAACATCCTCTTTTTGCATTCCACTCCCACGACGCGTTTGATAATATAATAAAGCACATAATAATACAAGCGCAGCTTAGCTCTTTTTTCCCCCTTTTCTTTTCTTTTCTTTTCTTTCTTTCCTTTTCTTTTCTATATTTGTTACTGATTATACTTGTACATATATATGGAATCGAATATATATATATATATATATATATATTACAAGGAGTACTAGTGTAGTATGTCGGCAAGGCAGTGGCGATGGCAATGGCAAGGCACATCTTTCCCTTTGGTCAAAGACTACGGCGCCTCCTCTCTCCCGCGCTTTGGGATGCACGGAGTATGGATGGGGGTAAAGCCACCAGCTTTCGAGACCGTTCACATGCTTTGTTCCACTCCATCCATTCGGCAACGCTACCAGGCCCCTCACTTCCGTTATCTGTTCCTTTCCATGAGCTGTCCATTTGTTTAAGACATAAAAGCAGGATCGCAGTCGTCATCCACCCATTGATTGCTGTGTGTGTCACCTTCCTTCTCCCCTGTGGCACTCAAACACCGCCTGTCGTGGCGTCCAGCATCATCTATTGATTTGATTATCATAATGCTACTAATGCATAGCGTCTTATTCTCGTGCCACACGCTTCCAGTCTGGCATAGTTACCTTGCCCCTGTCTCAACTGATCCTGGGAATCTAATAAGCAACCACAAATTCATGTGTCTGCAATTCAATTTTCTCTCACAATCTCGCTTCCTCTGGGGGCCATCATGCTGGTTTTTTATTCTTGTCTGCGATTCAATTTTCTCTTACAAAAAAAAAAAAAAAGCTTTGCTTCCTCTGGGGGCCATTATGTTTTTTTGGGTCATATGGTTCGTGTCATCCTTACTTTGTACAGTTGTTTTGTACAAGCAGGAGTTAGAGGGCAACCATGGCTTCGCTTGGTGACATAGGCGTCGCCGCGGGTTTCAACGTATTGACTGCCCTTGCCTTCTTGCTCGCATTTGCATTCCTTCGGTTGCAGCCCATCAACGACAGGGTCTACTTCCCTAAATGGTACCTCAGGGGAATGAGAGACAACCCAGTCGTCTCTGGTGCAGCTGTGCAGAAGTTTGTCAATTTAGACGGGAGATCCTACTTGAAGTTTTTAAATTGGATGCCGGCTGCTCTCAATATGCCCCAGGATGAGCTCATTAACCATGCAGGCCTTGATTCTGTGGTCTATCTACGGATATACATAACCGGGTATGTTGTATGTCTTCTCTTTGTTCTGGTTAGTTATACTGTTATCTCCTGCTGTTTATCTCTCTCCCCCACACACAAACTCACATGCATAATGATTTAGTGCTAAGTTGGGCATCTTATACAGGTTCGCATTGTTCAATCTTCTAATATCTTCCATCGCTGTTTTCCCTGTCTTTCGATGTCTATGCACTAATAGAATTCTTACTAATCACTGCAGGCTCAAGATATTTGTTCCAATTACAGTTCTGGCTTTTCTTGTTCTGGTCCCAGTCAATTGGACCAATGATACCCTAGGACACAACAATGTAGTCTACAGTCCTATCGACAAACTTTCAATATCCAATGTACCTAATGGGTCTAAGAGGTGAGCAACAGATCATAAACTAACTATTTCCAACTCTATAGTCACACGTAGCTTAAAAGGCAGAGGCTTGGCCGCATATTTAATACTCCCCATGTTTTGTTCAGGTTTATAGCTCACTTGAGCATGGCTTATGTCATCACATTTTGGACCTGCTATGTACTGTTCAAAGAGTATGAAATTATTACAAACATGAGGTTGCGCTTTCTAGCTTCAGAGAAACGCCGACCAGACCAGTTCACCGTATGCTTTTTTTTAAACTCTGCTACTTTGTTCCTGTTTATGACAGTAGGTTTGGATCCATATGTTTACTTTGTGTTGCATATCACATTGAATAGTTGAACAAGTAGAGATGCTCCATAAAATTACCATCGATAATTTAACCAACTCTGCGCTTTATTTTTTTGCATTCTCAGAGTTCTACGTCGTTGTGTAACAAACCAAATTCGTGTTCAGATCCATCTATTACTTGGTCTAAGTCTTCTATTACTTGGTCTAAGACTTTGATTTTGTGGGGTGTACAAATAATTAGGAACTTGTGCGAATGTTTCTTCCATGTTCCAGATAAATTGCATTAGAGTTTTGTGTCTGCAAATCCAACATGTTTCTTAGATCCTTTTCTGGAAGTCAAAATATCTTCTTACCGGAACTATTTTTACTTAGTTTTCATGATAAGCTGATGTGCCTCTGAGTTCGTTAATTCAAAGTTACTAATTTGCCAATGTGTTTTAGGTCCTTGTGCGGAATATACCACCAGATCCTGATGAATCAATCAGTGAGCTTGTGGAACATTTCTTCCTTGTCAATCATCCCGATCATTATCTAAGACACCAGGTACTTCTACTAAACCATTTCTGACAACATTCAGATGGTTAATGCCCCCTGCATTGCTATGGTTTTGCTCTTTATAATTTCTTTTCATCCCATTATTAACGTGCTTAGCGGCTTGTGATTAACATAATGCAAATACATTTGCTCTTCATTATAAATTCTTGTTCTTTTCCAAATAACGAGTGATTTTAAAAAATAACTCTTTTATCAGCATGATTCTAATGTAGTTTCTTTTATAACTCCTTTGCAAATAGCGAGTGATTCTTAAAAAGAAGGTATGCCACACAAATAATAGTTGTATTGCATTGAGCCCAGTGCATAGGACTAACACCCTACGTTAGTAGGCAAGCGGTACAATTCATATCTACATATATGCAGCCCTGGGTAGCTTGGGCGGCAAGAAAAAGTCCCAGCCCAACTACAGTTACAAGGCCCAATAGGGCTATACGGCTAATTCTAACAAAATAACTCATCTCTGCAAATTATGAATGATACTGAAAAGGAAATGGTAAGCATAAATAAGATGATGTAGAATCTATGAGATTGAGTAGATCAGATTTAGGTTGGCATATTCATTATACCTTTTTTCTTTGCTACTTACACATTTCACGCATCTTTTCGTCCCAGAGTAGTAGTAGACTCTTCTGGGAATTAACATTGTTCTACAATAGGGAAGGGAAATAAATGTTCCTTATTGCTGTTTAGGTGGTTTACAACGCAAATAAACTTGCTGATCTGGTTGAAAAGAAGAAGAAGATGCAAAACTGGCTTGATTATTACCGACTAAAGTATGAGCGGAATCCATCAGAGAGGCCCACCACAAAGGTTTGTCGGCAAGAATGATTAAATAGCTATTTTGTTTTTTGATGTAGATTTTGGTTTGTACATCTCTAAACTGGAATACTGTGTTAGTATCTTTAGTATTAATTACTTGTGCTTTCCCTGAGCTTTGTCACAGACTGGCTTTCTTGGATGTTTTGGTTCCAAGGTGGATGCTATTGACTATTACAAATCAGAGATCGAGAAAATTGGGAAAGAAGTAAGTTGTAGTTTCTGTGCAACTAGATTGTTAGTTCTTGCATCTGTGCTTTAGCGTATACTTTACATATTGCTTATTTTGATAGGGCTGAATGCTGATATTGTGTTTCCAAAATTCATTAGTGTTTGCTTACAGTTAACGTGCATAATAACTTTAAATTAATGCTTTGCAACAATACACAGGAAGCTGAAGAGCGTAAAAAGGTCATCAAGGATCCAAAATCAGTTGTGCCAGCAGCCTTTGTTTCGTTTCGCTCCCGATGGGGTGCAGCAGTCTGTGCTCAGACCCAACAAACCAGCAATCCAACAGTCTGGTTGACAGAATGGGCTCCGGAACCTCGTGATGTTTATTGGAATAATCTGTCCATCCCATTCGTGTCCCTTACAGTTAGGAGGTTGATAATTGCTGTGGCATTCTTCTTCCTTAACTTCTTTTACGTCATCCCAATGACACTCGTACAGTCTCTTGCAAACCTTGAAGGAATAGAGAAGGCACTTCCATTTCTAAAACCCTTGATTGAATTGTAAGTCTACATTAACTTTCGGCTTTATGCTATTTCCTTGACTTTTCAGCATAGCTTATGGTAGTATTTTGCATGTTCTTTTGATGACATGCCCTAATTTCTGCTTGTCAACTATTATGCAGGCATTTCATTAAATCATTCATCCAAGGGTTTCTTCCTGGAATTGCTTTGAAGATCTTCCTTATAGTTCTTCCAACTATACTGATGTTTATGTCTAAATTTGAAGGACTGATATCACAGTCATCTCTGGAGAGGCGATCTGCATCAAAGTATTATATATTCTTGTTCTTCAATGTATTTTTGACGAGTGTAATTGCAGGATCTGCTCTGGAGCAGCTTAAAACCTACCTCCATACGTCAGCAAATGAGTATGTCCTCATGTCCTGTGCCACCTGACCTACTGACATTATCCCTACTGTATAAAATGTGATAGCACAGCATGGATACGGACTTACTGAGTACTCTGTTGGCCAAATTGAGTTATCTTTTTTTCATGTATATATTGTGTGTTAGGTTTGTGTGGGTGATATAATTTCAGTCTGATGGTTAATCCTTTGGGACAGATAGAATGCAGTCATTGTCATGTACAGATATGTTAATTGTTCATTTCACAGGAGCAATAAATGGTAGAAGTATTAGTAGTGATGAGTAGTAAAAGAATTCAAGAGTAGGATAATGTTAATAGCATCCTTGCTAGAAAAAAAAAAGGTTAGGATATTGATGCTCAATGTGATAACAAAACTTAAGTTTAGAAGGTAGACTGATTGTTTGGTAGTACAGTACAGGTTTGGCACTAAGACCTAACTAACTCCTGTATTAGAGGGGAACTTTATTGGGCAGAATATACTGTTACTGGAGCCTTTCTCTAGAACAGGTTAATGTTAGAGAGAGTCAACTCATGTGTATATGTTTCTGATAATCTATTCCTTGCATTCTCATAATGAAATTATAAAAGGCAGTCATGATTTCCAGCGTGTCTAAATTGCTTGTTTCTGCAGCATACCAAGGATCATTGGTGATTCCATCCCAATGAAGGCGACTTTTTTCATAACATATGTAATGGTTGATGGTTGGACTGGAATAGCTGGTGAAATATTGAGACTGAAGCCGCTGATATTCTTCCATCTGAAGAACTTGTTCTTGGTCAAAACTGAAAAGGACAGAGAAGAGGCAATGGATCCTGGCAGTATCTGCTTTGACTCAACCGAACCTAGAATACAGCTATACTATTTGCTTGGCCTTGTTTATGCTGCGGTGACACCGTTCTTGCTTCCTTTCATATTGGTGTTCTTTGGGTTCGCATATGTCGTCTTCCGCCACCAGGTACAGAACACAATGAGAGTTTACGGATTGTCAAACCCACTGGGGGTATTTAAAAATGATTTTGAATAAGTTGCCTGATTTGAGTCCTGTGTGCTTGTGTTAGATAATAAATGTCTACAATCAGCAATATGAGAGCGCCGCACAGTTCTGGCCTAGTGTTCATGGGCGTATAATCACGGCGTTGATTGTATCACAGCTGCTGCTCCTGGGACTGCTGAGCACAAACGACTTCGAGCAGTCGACGCCTGTGCTCCTTGTTCTTCCTGTGCTGACCTTTTGGTTTTACAAGTACTGCAAGAACCGGTTTGAGCCGGCGTTCGTGAGGAACCCACTGCAGGTATTTCGCCGTGGCATATACTAGATTGATGGTGGTATTTTGTAGTCTGCGATGCGAGTTGCTGAACATATATATAATGAAATTGGCAGGAGGCGATGATGAAGGACACCCTGGAACGCGCCCGGGAGCCCAACTTCGATCTGAAGGCGTACCTGGCCAACTCGTACCTGCACCCGGTGTTCAAGGGGGACGAAGGCGACGACAGGTACTCGGTGGTGGACGACGACGAGTGGATGGGGGAGGAGGTGATCGTGCCGACGAAGCGGCATTCGAGGAGGACGACGCCAGCGCAGAGCAAGCACGAAGGATCGGATTCGCTCTCTGTGCCCGAGAGTGCTCTACAGCGATAGCCAGTAGTAGACTAGGTAGCCTGTACAGAATGGATGAAAATGAAATAGGAGGGAGATGCTGCTCCTGCATGCTCCATTGCTTCGCTTTGCGTTGCTTTGGGGGTGTTGGTTGTTGACAGGACATACATGCACACATGTTGATCCATTTGCAACCGACCCCATAGAACAGAATTCAAGAGAGCTGGGGGAGGACTGAGGGGAGAGAATGTTTACTGTAGCTTGGGCAAAGAATATGAATACAACAGTTCATTATCTGATGAATTTGTTAGCATCATCCATCCATCTCTAGAGTTCTACATACACACATACATACATCATCACCTAGCTTGGCCGCGCTCCTACCATTCTGGTAATCGGAGAACAGCCAAGAAAAAAGAACTCTAAATTAAGACAAAAATCTTGACGGATCAGTCAGTCAGTACATAGATGAGAGCAGAGCAGATCAGTCATGCCACCTGAGAAGCATCACGACGCATCTCATGGCGATGTACACCTTGGACCTCTGCTCCTTGAGAGATCTGCCGAACCCTCCAGCTCCAGCGGCTGATCGGCTCCTCTGCTGGCTCCCAGCCTTCATCTTCATCCTCAGGCGGCTTCCTTCCTTGCTTGCTTGCTTGTGCGACAGAAGCAGGCAAGCAGCAATGGCAGAATGGGCAGGCTTGCTGCGATATGTATGTATGTATGTATATATGCTTGTGGATATGCAGAGGCTTGCTGCGGCTTCCCATGGCCTCTCTCTTATATAGCTAGCTATAGGCTTAACTGCTTAAGCAGACGCAGATCTCAGAGCTGCAGGACAGGAGTTATTAGTCAGTTGCATAATTGCAGGCCTGGAGGAGAGGAGCGTGATGTGCATCACTGGCAACCCACGCCTTCATGCTGCTGCACCATCAGACATGGCAGTGAAAACTTGAGCTTGTTTATATTTGGCCTTATATTTTACTCTACTGCAACTGCAATGGCCTCCATGATCCGATTCCTCTTGTCGGCTGCGTGCCCTCATCTATCTATCAATCCACATGATCATGCATGTGTCGTCATGTGCGATGTGAGACTTCACTTGGTAGCTGCCGCTAAGCTTCCTCCATTCCAGCTCTCGGATTAGATTACTCTGCTCCTAATACAACAACTTGGCACAGGACAACAGCACAGCACACAAGAGAAAGAGATGCCCTGCTTGGTCACCTGCCTACGCCGAATATTTCTGTTTGATCTGCTGCTCACTGCCATTACGACACGGCAAGTTGGAGGCACGCAGAACAAACCACGCACCCTGGCCTGCAGCTGCAGCAGCAGACAAGAGGACGGGAGCTTTGAATCAAATATATGTATCATCACATGCACGGTGAATGATGCATGCAAGCAAACTTGTTTTAGGAGGCAGAGAGCATCTTCGTCGTATTGGTACATTGTATCGCGCCTGCAATTTCCTTGTTGCAGCTTCGTTCGTCGTTCCAGCAACTTGCATTGTCAGCAGAGAGCTAACCTTAACATAACATCTATTCTAGTACTAACTGTATGTGGGACGAATTGAAGGCGAAATTCGACTGAATAGTAGATTCATTGCATATATCAACATCTCCAATCCAAATAAATAAACAGCTTAAGGTACGTACGAGTTGAAACAGAAAGACTATGAATGAAACTGCAATTTTGCACAAACTGCAGAATTGCAGCAGGCACTTGAATATGAATGAAACTGTAATTTTGCACAGACTGACTGAAGAAGTGCAGCAGGCACTTGAACAGTTTTCAGAAGAAGCTAGCTAAGGTAGCAGTCTTGCATGCATGCTCCCAACTAAGGCCCACCTCAACCAGCTCGCAGATGAAACTGATTAGCTGAAGCCAAGCCACTGCATATATGTTATGTCCTTTGTTTAGTTTCTGCCGCGTATATCTTTGCATTATTGTTGAGGAACTCCGACCATTGAACAGATGCAACGAACTCGAGGCAGTCTGACCCTGGCCCATGTTTGCAGAGTTTTCAGCTCATCATCATGGTCGTCTTTACCTTGGCACTTGCAGAAGGAAACAAATAAAACATGGAGAAACAAATGAAGAAACAGGTAATGCATGAATACAAGGAGGAGATGGGAAGAAGATAGACCATGCATGCGCAGTAGCGCACAAGTAGGCATTGCAACATGCTAGCAGTAGTAAACAGCTAGGTAGGTGGGTAGGTAGCCAAGAATCAACCAATGATACTGTCATTAGTTTCATTCTGTGCAACTAATAATGCAGAAACGGCACAGCTAGAGTTATTGGTGTAGTATGCAGATGTAGCCTTTAGGAATGAGCAAGTAGCTAGATGCATGGCTGCATGCATTACATCACCTGAGTCCTGAGGACTGGATGATTGCTGGCATGATGGTGTAGACTGCATCGATCAAGAGCATGCAGCAGCCAGGGCTTCCCTGCTGCGCGCGTTGCATAACTAGCAAGCTCTATCTATTACTGTGGCCAGCTAGTGTATGCGTTTGCGCCGTGGATCGGCGATGTCAAATGCTTTCTCTTGCCTTGGTAGCAGCAGGTAAGGGATCGATGGTAGTGTATATATGCAGTCGACGATGATGCAGGCAAGGCAACATATGCATATGCACGAGGAAGGAAGCAGGGAGAGGGAGAGGAAGCACCGCATGAGCATGATGCTCCCGCCCCGTCCGACACGGGGTGCGGCGTGGCCGACAAAACAGATGCGGCGGCGGCGGCCTGCCTGATTGCCGCCCAGGCGCCCATGACGGATGATGCTGTCCGTCTAGTCCAGTCCAATCTTGTTCTTGCCTTGGTTGTGTCCAAGTCAAACCACTGTGTGTAGTGTGTTACGAGTATCTATCAGTGCCATCTGTCTGCGGGCTGCGGCCCACCATGTAGGGCCTGTTATCAGTGCGTCGAGGCGGCCCGTCTTCCTCCATCTGCTGCGACCTGACGAGCCCAGGACATGGCCCATGGTAGCGCTGGGCCCAGTCCCAGCCCAGGAAAATCAAATCTCTTTCAAGAGGCCAGGACGGACGGACGGATGAAACGAGGTAGAGTATGAATCGCTGAAGCATTCAAATTCTATTGATATTTTAGATGAGTTTCTGTAGGTGAATTAATATAACTATATATCCCATAGCTCCAATCACGTACGTACCTGCGTCTACCACCCACGAGGTTCGAACTATGATAAACACAACAAGATCGTCGATCTATCCACAGTTAAAGAAGGACGGCTACATGCATGTGGCAGCATTTATTTTACATCGTCACATACTTACTATGTTATAAAATTAAAAGGATATGTTGTATTCCAGGTATACGATCGTGGATTATAAGTTGGAACAGTATTTTTCTCTCACACCAAATCAGCCAGCAGTAAATAATCTACGATCGTTTACGACGAAACGATCAGGCTATAGCTTGTTGCCAGTATCAGTATGATCGAGGTCGGTGCTACCATAGCACTAGATCGAGTAGAACGCATGAACGAGCTAGGTTATCACAGTCTGCAAGCATGTCAGCTTTGTAATATTATTACAAGCTGATGAATCGAGTTTATTTATTACTGTACCATGAGAGAAGGAGATAATCACAATCTTCAGTCTACTGTAATCAGAAGAAGAAGAAGAAGAAGATGTATATAATATATGTACATGTGCTGCTATCCTATGTGGAACTGAGGGGCCCGGCCCGAGGGAAACCGAGAGCTGGTGGGCTGGATTAAATAAATAATTAATAAACTAAACTAAACTAACGTGGGGATCGGAGCTCCCACTCCCATTACCTTCCGTCCCGTCCCTGTCTCATCAGTCCACAGTCGTCATCGGCTGGCCCTGCCCGTGCCCGGGCACCGGCCAGCTCTCCAAGCCGTCACGTCACATGGCCCGAGGGAGATAAGCAAATGAAATGCAGGGGTTACAGGTTCGGGTCCCAGGTCTCACTTGGACCACTGCAATGCCCAAGGAATCTTGAACCGATTTATATTCGACCTAATTTATAGAAAAATAATATGAGCATTTATATCTTCAGAAAAACTTACTATAAAAAACATATCTTATAAAAATTATCTGATGATATTTAGTTGGTATCATAAATGCTAGTATCATCTTTTCTACCGATTTAATCAAATATAACGATATTATCCGATGTCATATTATATATATATATATATATATATATATATATATATTTCATCTAATATATAACAAGAATTTGTATCTTTTGAAACAGAGAGCGAAAGTTAGAAGGGGTTGAGTCATTGCTCGGTCAGTTGAATTCTAATTTAAGTTAGAGTAATGTGTTTCATACGTTAGACGAGCAAGTACAGAGAAAAACCAAACAAATTAGGGTCCATTTTATGTGGCCTCAGCACCCGAGAGACCAAGCCGCACCAAATGAACATGAGCTGGAGCCATTTTGATACCGGGAGCAGGAGGCAAAAAAACGGAAGGGCTAGCGCCTCGATGTCCGGCCGCTACTCCAGAGCCCACGTCGAGCTCATCCGCAGCGTCGTGCTTCTTTCCCTCCAAAAAAAAAAACTCGTGCCTCGCTAGCCGATCTGGCATATCCGCATCTGCAGGCCAACACTGGCCCTCCTACTCCTCCACCGCTGCACGACGCCCAACTTGAGCACCTGGAAGGGGAAGGACCCAGAGGGCTATGCCGGATCTTGTTGGCGGCGCTGGAGGCGGAGGAGACATCGAGGCGAGGAGGAAGATGCAACACTCGATGTATTTTTGAAATATCCAGATGCAACACTTGGAACATATGTCTCAAGACTGATGAAACACTTAAAACATGGGTCTTAAACACTTGCAAAAACACCGTAAAACACTTGAAACCATTGTAAACCCATGCAACATCCAGATAAGCATACCTGCAACATATGTGTCTTAAAAACAGATGAAATATTGGAAACGAAAACTTGCAACATATGTGTACAACCATGGCACCATATGTGATATCCCGATCTACTTTTGCAACATCCATATGAAACACTTGCAATATACCTATCTATGAAACATTTGAAACACTTGAAACATGCCTTTTGCAACATGGGGAGCTAGGCCCGGTTGAATCCAGCCGTTGGGGTTGGAGTTGGCGACGAGCGGCAATGCGCGAGCACCAGCTCCGGGCTTGGCTCGCCCAGACGGGCAGCGACGTGCGACGGGCGGAGCGAGCACCACCAGCATCAGCGCAAGCTGCGGCGCGCGAGCACCACCGGTGGAGAGGAATGATGGTGGTAGGCGGGCGGCCACCGCGGCGGTGCTGGAAGTCTGAGACCTTGCGGCGTGCTGGAAGTCTGGGACCTTGACTGAGTGGAAGGTGAGGGGTCAAAGACCGAACGATTTTTTAATAAAAAATACGGGTATAATGGAACAATTATTGAGCCGTTCGTGCCAGCATGGCGGCCTATGGCAACATGAATGTCCGCCCCTAAGTATTTCGGGGAAAAAAAAAGGAGAGAGAGAGAGTAGAAATAAAACAAAACCAGCCGTGGTTTTGAGGCGGACCGAGGGCGCCCACAGAAAGACAGCGACGTTTGAGAAAGGTTGGGAAGCAATGCCAAATTGGTTGCCAATTCAGATCCAATGGATTATACTCCTCTGTCTCGTGGATCCGTCCGGCGGCGTTCCATTCTATTCTATTCTATTCCAGTCCATTTCCCCCGATCCCGAGAACTGGGGCGCCTGGGAAGAGAGGCCAGGCCACGTCAGGTGTCGCTGATTTCGATGGTGATTGGACAACCGACCACGGATCGGAGTGCAGTGCAGTGCATGCATGCGTCGCTGTTAGTTGTACTATGTAGCTAGCGTAGATACGGAGCACCTGGGACTGGGACAGATACTCCAACAGTACTATGTAGCAGGTTTCCCACAAAACCTGGAGGTAGCGTAGCTTGCCGTTCGGTTCCCGTACTTCTTTCTTGTACTTTTTTTTTGCCCTACTTTCCGTTCCAATTCCATTCCAAGGCAAAGGCAAAGGGAAAGGGCACGTCGTTTGGATGACACCTTCACCAGTTGATAGTTCGACTAAAACGACTTACATGCTGCTTACACTGCAACAGCTTTACTTGCCATGTTATATGCGCAAAAAGAAAAAAAATGGATAGATTATTATTTTTTCTTTCAAAACTATTTTTATTTTTTCTGTCATTTAAACATGGATAGATTATATGGCTCTTCTCGGATGAAAATAAAAATAAAAATGGATAGATTTTTATTTTTTTTGAAACAATCTGCTAGGAAGGTCCACCAAACTGTTAGACCTCCTAAAACTATTTTGGTTGATTTTTTTTAATGTCAAATCTTTTATGATTTAATCCCGTCTCCCATCCTATGTGTTGGAGGAATTGTAAGATCTACTAGTTTAGAAATTTAGAGAAAGCTACCAATTAAGTTAAATAAGTAGAGATTGATGAACTTCAAATTAAAGCAGGGATAATTACAACGTCACCCCGTGTGTCTCTATATATATATATATATATATATATATATATATATATATATATATATATATATATATATATATATATATATATATATAGATAGATAGACATGGAAGGATCTACTAGCCATGATTGTTTTTGCACTAATAAAGGCAGTATCCAGGCCAGCAGCAACCTAGAGGTAGGGTTGGGTGTGTCCATGACCATGAGGAGGGAGTTGAAAACCAGACATGTTGATCCAAATCTGTGGGAAGGAAGAGCAGGAAACAAAGGCAGCACCCACGGTTTTGGATGGAACCACGGATGGGGAGATGGAGATGCATGCACCCACACACCTCTCCATCTCCCCGCTCCCCCACCAACGGACTGTCTCCAACAGATGATCGACAGGGACACTAAAACTCAAAATGGCTCTTGGATGATATTATATTAGCCTTTATCTATATGCGAGACCTATTTTGAGTTAAAGTAGAGGTACAACCTATATATAAGTATTTTCTCTCTAAGAGACTCATATGTAGAAATGATTTTCTTTTAAACCATATTGTTGGAGAAGACTTAAAAAAAATAGATATTAAATTCTTCTCGGTAACGCTTCCTAAATATAGAATGGGTCTTGTATTTTGAGAGATCGTTAGTTGGATAGTCAATATACTAGTACTAGGCTGCGACTGCGACGGAACCGCGTGCGTGCGTTCCCAGTTTTCGGAAGGGAAACCCAACCGAAAGCAAAACCAAAACCAGAGCCGATGGAAACCAATGGCGCCGCAGGCCGCAGCCGTCCTGAAGACGACGACGTGTTTTTGGATTTGTCCCGGTCCTAGCCCTAGCCCAGGGCTCGTCTTCCTTCCCTTCCTTGGGGGACGATGACGATGGATATATTAATTACCCTTCATTCCTTCCATTCATTCATATTGCTCACACCACACCACACCACCTCCTTCGTCGTCACTGCGACGGTACGCTCGCTCGCACGCGCCACCGCCAGCCGCCATTTCCACCACCACCACAACACTACAATACATTAGAAGAAAGAGAGAAGGAGATCGATAGATAGACCATGAGGCTGAGCTGCAACGGCTGCCGCGTCCTCCGCAAGGGCTGCAGCGACGCCTGCACCATCCGCCCCTGCCTGCAGTGGATCAAGTCCTCCGACGCGCAGGCCAACGCCACCGTCTTCCTCGCCAAGTTCTACGGCCGCGCGGGCCTCCTCAACCTCATCGCCGCCGCGCCCACCGACGCGCTCCGCCCCGCCGTCTTCCGCTCCCTCCTCTACGAGGCCTGCGGCCGGATCGTCAACCCCGTCTACGGCGCCGTCGGGCTCCTCTGGTCGGGCACCTGGCACATGTGCCAGGACGCAGTCGAGGCCGTCCTCAAGGGCGCGCCCATCGTCCAGGTCTCTGCCGACGACGCCGCCGCTGCTGCTGGGCCACCCATTAATGCTGCTGCTGCTGCTGCGGCGGCGGCGGCGGCTTACGACATCCGACACGTCTTCCCCAAGTCCTCCTCTTCCAACAAGCAGTCTCATGCTGCTGCTGGTGCACCTCCACCACCAGCGGCAGTGGACGACGCCGCCGCTGCCCAAAGCAGAGACGACAAGGACAAACACACGGGCAGGGGGCTTCTCCGTAAGGTGTCCAAGCCCCAGTTCAAGCGCACATCCTCATCGCCTTCACCGTTGAAGAAAACCAAGACGACGACCCAAAACAAGCAGCCGCACCTTGCTGCTTTGCCGGCCACGGAGTACCACAACGACGACATGCTGGTGGCAGACCATAGCGATGAAGAGCAACAACATGCCGCCGTTCGTGATCAGGTGACCAACAGCAACGCCAAGAGCCGCCGCGCCTCGTCCGACGACTGCGACCGCCACTCAGCGTCCGCGTCTCTGGACACCCACGACACCGAGGCGGCCGCCTCTCACGTCAGCCAGGCTGTGGCGGAAGCGGAGCCGCAACAAGACGACCAGCAAGCAGAGGCAGAGCAGCAGCCGCCGTCGATGGGCCTCGACCTCACGCTCGGATTGTTAACGTCGTCCGCGCCGCCGCCAATGGACCTGCTGACGCCCGCCGGCTGCAGACTGCAGGGAGGAGGCTCGAGCGCGGCCGTCGATGAGCCCGCCGGTATCATCGGCTTCCGCTTCCTGTAGCTAGCCATTTGATGGATTATTCCATTTCATTTAGATTTAGGCCCAAAAGTCAAAAGAGAAAATACAAATCATCCCTAGCTTCTTGTTTAAATTAGGCCTGTTTTCTTTTTTCTTTTTCTTTTTCTTTCGATGAAAAAAGGACAGCCTCACTAATTGATTGATAGCGAATCAAAGTTACACAGTGTTTTTTACTTTTCCGAATAAAAACCCAGGGAATAGTGTACTACTCCCTGCAAAACGGAATGGATCGAATGACTGCTTCTCATCATCATCAGTCTAATGGCCCGTTTGGAATCCGGAGAACTAGAGCATACTCCCATCTATAAAAAAAAATGCAATTTGCTTACCAAGCCTCGTTCAAAACGTCGGCAAAGAGGACAGACATGCTTTTTACCCCAAAAAACAAACAATCGCCTTCCAACCTTAAATGGTACTGTATATCTGATGAACTGTTGCCTAGTACTACTTCTCACAGTAACAATGTCCAAAACTTGTCTAGAAACTTAAGGGGCTGTTTGACAGGACTGAAAAATAAGCCAAAAAACTGTTCCGGCTGATTGTTGTGAAGAAAAATGCGACTCTATCTGAAAACACCGTGCATATGAACAGTGTTTTCGTGAGTACGCTGGCCAGCCCAGCCCCAGCTGGCCAGCCAGCCGAACACTCCACTTTCAGTGTGCCAAAATACCATGAGCTAGCTTAGCTAGCGTTCTATGCGAACAACACAAGACTTGTCACGATATGAGCAGTTGACTTGATTCGCATTCAAACACCTAGTACAAGGATGCTGCCCCTATCAAGTATCAACTCTCGTCCATGGCATCATTCCCACTGCCTCGCTGGGTCTCTGCATCCTTGTCTCCAGCTTCAGAGGCACCTCTTGCAACCGAGTCTTCCAATTATGGATGAAAACGGTACGGATATTTATTCGACCGTCCGTTCGACCGAACAAATATGAACACTTATCTGGATAGTTACTCGGATATCCGGGTTTTTTTTCGGATACGGATACTAAAACGGATATCTTAGGCGGATATCAAATACGGATGTAATATCATCGATATCCGGCGGATATCGGATAATCCGGATAAGTATCGGATATATCCGGATATTTAAAAACGGATATTATCCGGATATTTATTCAAAATTTAAAAATCACAAATTTGAACCATCCAAACTATCTCAAATGGAAAGTTGACCAAAACAACAATTGTAGATCTTGATGAGTTGAACAAACTTGGTATTCAAAACTTTTCAATTTGAAGTCATTTAGAGTTCATAATACTAGAGTCAAAGTGTTGTTTTTTCATTTGACCAAATTTGACTTGGTCAAACTTGCTCAAATGAGACACTAAATGACCTCAGATGAAAAAACTCTGAATACCAAGTTTGATCATCTCAGCAAGATCTACAATTGTTACATAGCTCATTTTCTCATTTGAGAAAGTTTTATCAAACACTAGTCATAAATTCTTGAATCTCATATAGACTTTCTGAAACTATGTCACACACTTGTGAAATTTGAACTATATTTTGTTCAAACTTTCTCAAATGAAAAAATGGCCTATATAAGGATTGTATATCTTGATTAGATGAACAAATTTGGTATTCAAAACTTTTCAATTTGAGACAATCTAGGGTTCCGAAAACTAGTTTGTAAACGTCGAAATTTAAAAATCACAAATTTGAACCGTCCAAACTATCTCAAATGGAAAGTTGACCAAAACAAAAATTGTAGATCTTGATGAGTTGAACAAACTTGGTATTCAAAACTTTTCAATTTGAAGTCATTTAGAGTTCATAATACTAGAGTCAAAGTGTTGTTTTTTCATTTGACCAAATTTGACTTGGTCAAACTTGCTCAAATGAGACACTAAATGACCTCAGATGAAAAAACTCTGAATACCAAGTTTGATCATCTCAGCAAGATATACAATTGTTACATAGCTCATTTTCCCATTTGAGAAAGTTTTAACAAACACTAGTCACAAATTCTTGAATCTCATATAGACTTTCTGAAACTATGTCACACACTTGTGAAATTTGAACTACATTTTGTTCAAACTTTCTCAAATGAAAAAATAGCCTATATAAGGATTGTAGATCTTGATGAGCTGAACAAACTTGGTATTCAAAACTTTTCAATTTGAGACAATCTAGGGTTCCGAAAACTAGTTTGTAAGCATCAAAATTTAAAAATCACAAATTTGAACCGTCCAAACTATCTCAAATGGAAAGTTGACCAAAACAAGAATTGTATATCTTGATGAGTTGAACAAACTTGGTATTCAAAACTTTTCAATTTGAAGTCATTTAGAGTTCATAATACTAGAGTCAAAGTGTTGTTTTTTCATTTGACCAAATTTGACTTGGTCAAACTTGCTCAAATGAGACACTAAATGACCTCAGATGAAAAAAACTCTGAATACCAAGTTTGATCATCTCAGCAAGATATACAATTGTTACATAGCTCATTTTCCCATTTGAGAAAGTTTTATCAAACACTAGTCACAAATTCTTAAATCTCATATAGACTTTCTAAAACTATGTCACACACTTGTGAAATTTGAACTACATTTTGTTCAAACTTTCTCAAAATGAAAAAATGGCCTATATAAGGATTGTAGATCTTGAATCCATGACCATGACTCCATGAGACCCATGAAGCAATGTGCTTGGCTATTTCTACTCATGCCGCAAAGATTGGTGCTTATATGATGTTTGATGTATGATGTATCTCATCTTTATCTTATTTGTTGCTTTACTCTTTAGTCTTTCGGCTTAATCTAGATGGATTATGGACTCATAGAGTGGTGTAATGGTTTACGACGTATGATGATATATATATATATATATATATATATATATATATATATATATATATATATATATATATATATATATAGGTAAAGTTCACTTTAGGACCTCCAACTATCACAGTATATGGATTTCAACCTCCAACTTCAAAACCGGATAACATTGGCCTCTCAACTCTCGAAAAAGTTCACTTTAGGACCCTGGCGGTTTCCTGGCGGTTTTGCATGGCATCAGAAGAAGTCTTGACGTCAAATGATGACGTCAAGACTCTTTTTAATTTGCAAAATTGATATATTTTTATTCGAGCTCCAAATATAGCAAATAATATATCAATTTTGATCGTCTCGACGAGCTCTTTGCAATGGTGTACTCCGTTTTGTTGTTTGAGATAATTTTATTTCATGAAAAAATAAATATTTCTACAAAACAAGTTAGAATAATGAACTCGTGGAATTTGTTAGATAAATAATATTTTATTATTATGTAACACGAAATGTTGTCTTTTTAGGTTCATTTGACCATAGAATATATAAGTTTGACCATTTTTGAAATGCAATAATTCAAAACCTTTTGTAGAAATATTTCGCCGTGTTACTTGGCATAAATATTTCGCAATAATTCAAAATATTTCGCAATAATTCAACAAGGGCGCCAGTCCGTCTCGGCTTACGGCATTTACGACACAAGCTTCGCTTTGTCTTGCCACCACCTCGCATCGGGCGGGCGCGCGAGGGCGACGAGGCGCACCGCAACGCCGACGCCACGGAGATCCTCGCCGGACGACGACCATTCAAACGCTCAACTTACTGATCAGCACAAGATTCTAGACCACGAGTAAGCCACTCACTATTGCCGCTACTCTCCCTCAATTCAATCTAGCTATCCACCGCCACTTCATGCGGTCATACTCATGCCATGCCAGCCAGAAATGAGATATCGTCATGTGTCGGCCGAATGGTCGCCCGGTTCTGTGTCTTTGCAATAGTAGCCATAGGAAAGGAAAAAGGACAGTGTACACGAATCGTATATCTTTGTATCGGATTTGGGTACAAGATAAATATAATACTACTACTACCACTAGCTACTTAATTTCACCACAAAAAGAAAAAAAAACACTAGGAGCAGTAAACATATCGCTTGATCGTGTCATATGTTGACAGTTAGTTAACCGCAGCTAGGGAAGGTTAATTCAAAAATATCTAGCGATCGTGGCGGTGTCCGATTGACCGTCCAACTCCCCTGCTTTATATAATTGACTACGTTGGTGTTGTACATATATAAATATACAAAGTATATAAAATACTTGCATACGTCCGACTTAATTGCATAACTTGTTTTGTAGAAATATTTATTTTTCATGAAATAAAATTATCTCAAACAACAAAACGGAGTACACCATTGCAAAGAGCTCGTCGAGACGATCAAAATTGATATATTATTTGCTATATTTGGAGCTCAATAAAAAGATATCAATTTTACAAATTTAAAAAAGTCTTGACGTCATCGCCGACGTCAAGACTCACATAATGCATGCAAAACCGCCTGGGAAACCGGCCAGGGTCCTAAAGTGAACTTTTTCGAGAGTTGGAGGGCCAATGTTATCCGGTTTTGAAGTTGGAGGTTGAAATCCATACTTCTACGATAGTTGGAGGTCCTAAAGTGAACTTTACCCATATATATATATATATGCTGCTTTTACTCAATATTCGAATAGATATTTGTATCCGACCTTCTCCGAATCCGATTCATACCGTATTCGATACTCATTATTCGTATCCGTAACCGAGTCAATCTGTATTCGTATATGTATCCGAACGCTATCCGTGTCCGAATTCGAATCCGAACAGAAATATGAAAACAAATATAATATGAGTGATATCCGTTCGTATCCGATCCGTTTTCATCCCTACTTCCAATGCCTCCAGGAATGAGGCCACCGTGAACTTATCTGCCATAGTCACAACACGCACAAAAGTTCAGATACCAAAAACTGATGCATACCATACTTACCCCGACTGCAAAATTTGCAAAGGGAAAAAATGTTTCCAAAGTTCAGCAACAAGCATCATGAATGGTTGGCATTTAGTTTTTTTATCATTATTATACTGCCTAAGCCTTATGTATAATAACAAGGCTTCCTCGCTGAACAGATTGCCTTTTTATTTTATTTTACAGACATTAAT